TTAGGGTGTCAGATAAGGCGCGAGCGCACCTGGCTTGCCCCTCTACAGTCGGGGCGCTGAAGAAGGAACCCTTTTCGTTGGGAGGGGGCTCCGTGTTCCTTAAGTGTTTCACAGCTTGCCTCAAGTTTTCCTTAGGTTTTCGATGGGAAATCGAACTTTAACTGATGGGAAAAAGGGGCCTCGTTCCTTATTTTAGGGTTCATTAGGTCAACGCCCCGACTGTATTTCCCTTTCCCTGGCGCGGCGAATGGCGGTGTGGTGCTTGCGACGTCACGGCGGGCTCGCAATCCGTCTTGCAGGGCCACTGCACGTGGGCCTGCAGGGCGTGACCCCTCCCCTTGGCAGCAGCTTAACTCGGCCAGGAAGGACTCAGCCAGGCTGAACTCGGCCAGCTGAGCTCGGCCAGGCTGAACTCGACCGTCTGAGCGGCCAGCCTGAATTCGGCCCAAGCCGAGTTCAGCCGAGCGCGCCGCCAGCACAAACGCACCGACATTGGGTTGCCGTGCAATGAGGCCTTGGACGCGCACGGGTGGCTCACCTACCCCTTGGGGGGGTCCCGCGCAGGCCGCCACGACAGCATGCGGGACTGGCGCGCCCCCGCACGCGCGCGCCTCGCGGGCTACTGCGCCGCGAAGGACCACAGGGTTTGGGCTGGAGCTGGCTGACATCGCGGACGGGCGTCATGGAGGAGACGAATGCGGACGTTTGCGCACGAGACCCAAGCACAGGTCAGCCTGTGTACGTGGATTGGGGCGGAATTGCGAATACACCACCCACGGCCCTCGCGTGCGAGGTCGATCCACCTTCGACGGGGTCGCGGCGGCGCAGATGGCTCACGACAGGCTCGACCGCTGCCCTCCGCAGCACTGGAACTTGGCGCCCTTGGTGTTCGCGTCGGGAGCCAGCTCGTCCGACGCGGCCGTCGAGTTCATCAGGCCGAATCTTAATATTCATGGGCGCGACGACGCTGACCAGGCCAAGGTCCTCGAGCGCGGGGGGGGGAAAGCAACAGGCGCTTGCTCACCGGCAATGCCGAGATGTTGCTCAGTGCACTTAGGCGCCAGGCCAGCCGACACTGGCGTTCTGGCCATCGCCGCCGCCACCAACAGCGGCCGTGGCCACAACCATGGCGGTCTTGATGACCACGACCGCCACCAACCACCCTGAAAACCACCACCACGACCAGGCTCGATTCCTGCGGCCACCCCCACGCCCACCACGACCACCGCCAGCCACAGCGACCACCGTAAGCGCCGCCAGCACGGCCACCACCAGCACGACCACCGGCCAAGCCACCACGACCACCACCGCGGTGCCCGACCATCAGCCCCCTGCCCGACTTCCATAGCGACAACCACGCCGGGCATAACGACCACCACGTCCGCCAGTGGCCCGGCCGCCACGACCCCCCACGTCGACCACCACGCCCGCCTGCGCGATTGCCTCGAAGACCCCTCCCTCTGCCCCCGCTTCTCTTTTCCCTTCCCTGCCCCTGCCGGGCCAAACCTGCTTGCATTTCTCCCTTGTGTGTCCGACAGGTGACGTTTTTCGTGGCTAGGGCCCCAGGACCATAACCCCGACGCCCGGGGGTCCCCTGTTTTGGCGGGGGTGGGAACCCACACGGGTCCCCCAGGGCATTTTTTATGGGAGGAAGAAGGAGGAGGGGGAAAAAGGAGGAGCAGGAAAGAGGAGGAGGAGCGGGAAAAAGGAGGAGCAGGAAAGAGGAGGAGGAGGAGGAGGAGGAGGAGGAGAGTCGCCACTTCCTCTCGAATGAGGAAGATCTGGGCGACCACGGCGGCCCCCAACGGGCCTTGGATTTCGTCGGGGGCGAGAGGCGCCTGTCGCCGCGGGATGGGAGGCGCCGACCCTGCGCTAGCCCTCTGAGGCTCTCGCGCCGCCCCGCGCCATGGCCCTTGCGAGGCTCGTGGCGGCGTGCGCGGCTGCCGCTGTCTGGATGCTCACGACGGGCCTCTACAACTCGCAGAGCTTGCAGACCTGGCGGGAGGCTCTCGCGCGCGAGGCGCTGCAGAATTTTGACGTGGTGGTGTGGCCTGGAACTCAGCAGCGCCAGAGAGACGCGATCCCCGTCACGGCCATCAGCAAGATGAGGCACGTGGCTTTCGACGGGAGCTGGCGCAGTGGACGGCTCACTGACAAGAGGTGCGGCATCACGATCATGATTGGTAGGAGCATCAGCAACCACGTACGCCAGGTACTCAGCCCGCCGCCGAAGATCGGCATCACTGGGCGGGCGGGAGGTCTCAAGCGGGCGATGGCGCGGACCCCGATGCTGGGCGTCGGGGTTTACCTCACGCCGTATGGCACCCAGGAGGAGCGTACGGGGGCCATGCAGCGCATCTCAGGCTGGATCAACGACGAGGAGACGGAGACGGGCAACAAGTACCTGGAGGTGATCGCTGGGGACAAGCAGCTGAGGTTCAATGACATAGACGAGGTGGCTGGACGGGATGGACGGCATAGGCGATCAAGACAAATGCGATGGTGGGCGGTGTTGAACTACCTTACCGCGGCCAACACGCACTTCCTCCCGCTCGACAGCTACTACGGGTCGGAGCCGACCAGCTGGAGCGATCATGTGGTTGCTCCGCCCACGGCGATGGGGGTCGTGCCGAAGATCAGGATGCACCACTACCTGAGGCGCACGCTCTTACCATTCCCGACGGCTGAGCTTCGCGATCAGTACCTGACTGAGGCCCACATCACTTACGAGCTGAGCTACTCGCCGATTCGGGGCGCCATGGAAAGGGTGGATCGGGACTTCTTCATGAGGCGCTTGACGAAGGGCGAGCGGAGGCACGAGCTACGCGAGAAGGCTGAGACCGGGCTGAGCGCCGTTGATGCCGAGGGGAACCGCTCCGACTCCTACCCCGCCCATCTCTTCATGAAGGCGATCCGCGACACCAAGATCTCGCTCTTCCCGCCCACGAGGACGCTGGACAATGAGTACGAGCACTTGGTGGAAGAGAGGGTTCAGGCTCTGCGAGCTCTGGCGCACGCGGCACGTGAACTTGCAGAGATGCAAGCTCGACGGGATGACACAGGCCACCACTGCCTCGAGCGCATCGAGAGGGGTGCAGAAGCGCGGTTACGGCGTCTCACATGCGAGTGCAAGGACCACACCTACTACGAGCGGATCGAAGAGCTGAGGGAGGAGAGGCGGACCCGCGACTTCTCCAGAGCGCACGCACTGAGGGGATGTCTCGCTGTCAGAGGGAAAGGCACCCGCAAGCGTACCCATATTGCTGCCAACTGCATGCCGGGCGCTGAGGAGTGGAAGCAGGAGATGGCCATGGAAGGAGTCGGGGGCGGCATGAGCGCGCTGACGACCTACTGGGACCAGGAGGGCGGCAGGAAGAAGAAGAAGCTCGCGACCGATTGTGGCACGGGTCTCGCCGCCGCCAGCTTCAGCGGGGTCTCCGACGCGATGGTCACCAGGCTGCAGGGGGTGCTGAACACGTTGCAGGGGCAGCGCAGCCTGGAGGGGGCAGTCCTCGACTTCTGCCTCGAGCCAGTGAACAGCGTCACGGTGGATGTGGTGGAGACGAGCGGTAAGGAGTACAACGATGCGGTGGAGTCCAAGGCGCTCACTCAGCAGGAGCTCGGCAGCCCGCGCGAGCAGATCGAGAAGAGAGTGATCAACAAGCTGGCCAGCGCAGACATGAACAAAGGGCAGCAGGTCAGGCTGGCGCAGGGCGTGCGGTCACTCATGAACACGGCGCTGGAGGAGAGCCCAGCGATCACGGGCGAGATCTTCAAGGGGGTCATGTCCAAGCGCGCGAGGTTCGACGGGCAGGAGCAGATGACGATGGCCATCAGCCCGCACGTGCAGATACCGCCCAATTGGCTGGGCAAGCACGGCGAGGGAAAGAAGAAGGCGAACGAGGAGGCGATCAGGGAGAGCGACGTGGAGGGGATGCGGCGCCTGGCCGACATGCCGCTGGAGTCGACTCTCGTCAGGGACGGGTGGATGATGCTCCTCGCCATGCTGGAGGCCGAGGGGGCGGTGCTTGCCGACGGGCAGGTCCAGGCTCGAGCGCGATCTGCAGAAGGAACTCGGCCAGAGCATGAAGCCGAGCTGAAGGCCCGTCGACATCAGGCTGCTGGTGAGACCGCGATGGTCGCTGCGACTGGTAGCGAGCGTGAAAGTGAACTTCTGAGGGCCCTGGAGAGCAGGGTTTGCCCGACTGGGGTCGCTCCGAAGGAGAGCCCGCAGTCGGACGTGATGCACGGCGGGTCCCCTTCACCCCCAGGCTGTTCGGCGGGTTCTGGCCCTGGCGGCTCCGTCTAACAGCCCGAGGGAGGAGGGAATCCGCGGTGCATGGATGCAGTCAGCGTCGGTCGCGCGTCGCGGGCCCCCCTGGCTGTATCGGACCCCGTCGCCGCACCTGCGGAGCGGGGCGCCGCCAGGCCCCCGCGGCCGCGCGCCGACCTCGTTCCCGACGTCACAGGGGCACACAATTTTGTTTGAGGTTTTTTTCGGCCTGGAACTCGGAATTCGGCGTCCAGAGCTTTGAGACCGGTTTTCGTTGCCCCCGATGTGTGTTTAGTTTAGTTTAGGAGGAGGAGGAGGAGGAGGAGGAGGAGGAGGAGGAGGAGTGAGGAGGAGGAGGAAGGAGGAGGAGGAGAGGAGGAGGAGGAGGAGGAGGAGAGGAGGAGGAGTAAGAGGAGGAGGCGGAGGAGGAGAGGAGGAGGAGGAGGAGGAGGAGGAGGAAGAGGAGGAGGAGGAAAAAGGGGGAGAGAGGGGGGGGGATAAGGAGGAGGAGGAGGAGGAGAGAAGTAGGAGGAGGAGGAGGAGGAGGAGAGAGGAGGAGGGAGGAGGAGGAGGAGGAGGAGGAGGAGGAGGAGAGGAGGAGGAGGAGAGGAGGAGGAAGAGGATAATGAGGAGAGAGGAGGGAAAGGAGGAGGAGGAGGAGAGGGGGAAAGTTTGAAAAGACGAGGAGGAGGATGAAGAGACCTGAGGCGTTGTCCCGCTCGGCCAGGTGCCGCCTCAGGCGAAGGTCAAGGGCGGCAGGCTGTCTCAGAAGCGCGGGGCCGTCGCCGTGCGAGGGAGCAGGCTCGAGGCCACCCGCGCGCCAGCCGCAAATCCCCCTCTCCCATTGTTTTGGTTTGTTTGTTTGGTGTTTGCCTTTGTCGTCCTTGTCTTTGTCTTTGTCGTCGTCGTCGTCGTCGTCGTCGTCGTCGTCGCAGGAGGAGGAGGAGGAGGAGGAGGAGGAGGAGGAGGAGGAGGAGGAGGAGGAGGAGGAGGAGGAGGAGAGAGGAGGGAGGAGGAGGAGGAGGAGGAGGAGGAGGAGGAGGAGGAGGAGGAGGAGGAGGAGGAGGAGGAGGAGGGAGGAGGAGGAGGAGGAGAGGAGGAGAGAGGAGGAGGAGGAGGAGGAGGAGGAGGAGGAGGAGGGGGGGGGGGGAGGGGGAGGGGGAGGGGAGGGGGAGGAGGAGGAGGAGGAGGAGGAGAGGAGGGGAGGAGGAGGAGGGAGAGAGAGAGAGAGAGAGAGAGAGAGGGAACTGTGGAGGAGGAAAGGGGGAGGTGGACGGGGAACACGTTGGATCTCGACCATCTTGCGTCATCGTCAGCGTCAGCGTCAGGAGGAATGTGTGTTGAGGACGAGGAGGAGGAGAAGGAGGAGGAGAAGGAAATGGTAGAGGACGAGGGGGAGGAGGAGGAGGAACGAGGAACGAACTCAAGTGGCAGCGTCTGCTCACAGACACTCTTAGGAGAGACAAAAACTGATCCCAGTCCTTCGCCCCCCTCCAGAAGGTTACCAGACTTGGGATGCTTGCCCCCAGCAAGCATTTGAAGACTCGCCGCCTGCTGTGGGGCAGGTCTTCGGGGTCAGGGCAGGGGACCTCAAACCCCTTCCCTGCCCGCCCTGACGGACCCGCATGCCCCGCACCGCCGACACCAGACGACCGTACCCGTGGCGGTGACGTCGTGTCCCCCAGGTGCGGTGAGCCTCAGCGGCGCCGCCTCGGGCTCCACAGAGCCCGAGGCCCCCTCCCCCCAGGGGCCCCAGCTTCGCCTTCGCGGGCAGGCACAGGCCCTTCCCAAGAAGACCCAACAGGGGCCAGCCCAGACGAGGCCACGGGCCCGGACGGACCCCCCGACCCCGCCCCAGACGAAGCCGCCCCAGACACCCCAACCCGCCCCGACCCCACAGACCCCCCAGCCAGGTGGGCGGTGGCGGCAGCCTCCAGGATTTGAGCTTGCACGATGTGAAAGAGCGTGTTCTACCGCTGCTGGCGGAAAACCGGGGGGGGTCACTACCGGTTCGAACCCCTCCCCCCCCCCCCTCCGGAAAACCGGGGGGGGGTCACTACCGGTTCGAACCCCTCCCCCCCCCCCCAGTCATCATGAAAAGGGGGGGGGGTCACTACCAGTTCGACGGTTCCCCCCCCCTCGAAAACCGAGTTGGGGTGCGGACAGTGATGGGGACGGTGTTGGTGGGGACAGTGGTGAGGGGACAGCGGGACAGTGGTGGGGACAGTGGGACAGTGGGGTGGGGACGGTAGTGGTGGGGACAGTGGTGGGCACAATGGTGGGAACAGGGGGGACAGTGGACAGTGGTGGGGCGGTGGTGGTGGGGACAGTGGTGTGGGGACAGTGGGAATGAGGTGGAAACAGTGGGACAGTGGAGGGTACAATGGTGGTGGGGACAGTGGTGAAGGCGGTGGCGAGGACGGCGGTGGGACAATGGGACAGAGGTACAGTGGGGACAGTGGTGGGGACAGTGGGGACAGTGGTGGGAACAGTGGGACAGCTCAGTGGGACAAGCGGAGGAGTCAGTGGGACAGTGGGGACAGTGGGGATAGTCGGGCAGTGGTTGGGGCCGTGGAGACAGTGGGGAGAGTGGAACCGTGGTGGGAACAGTGGTGGGCACAGCGGGGACAGTGCGACAGTGGTGGGGGCACTGGTGGGGACAGTAGGGACGGTGGTGGAACCAGTGGGGACAGTGGTGGTGAGGACAGTGGTGCTGGGAACAACAGTGGGGAATGTGATGCGGACGGTGGTACGGACCAGGAGTCGTTTGCTGGCGGTGCATGTGGGGGGAACAATGGTGGGGGTGCGGACAGTGATGGGGACGGTGTTGGTGGGGACAGTGGTGAGGGGACAGCGGGACAGTGGTGGGGACAGTGGGAAAGTGGGACAGTGGTGGGGACGGTAGTGGTGGGGACAGTGGTGGGGACAGTGGTGGAACAGGGGGGACAGTGGACAGTGGTGGGGGCGGTGGTGGTGGGGACAGTGGTGTGGGGACAGTGGGAATGAGGTGGAAACAGTGGGATAGTGGAGGGTACAATGGTGGTGGGGACAGTGGTGGAGGCGGCGGCGAGGACGGCGGTGGGACAATGGGACAGAGGTGCAGTGGGGACAGTGGTGGGGACAGTGGGGACAGTGGTGGGAACAGTGGGACAGCTCAGTGGGACAGCGGAGGAGTCAGTGGGACAGTGGAGACAGTGGGGATAGTCGGGCAGTGGTTGGGGCCGTGGAGACAGTGGTGAGAGTGGAACCGTGGTGGGAACAGTGGTGGGCACAGTGGGGACAGTGCGACAGTGGTGGGGGCACTGGTGGGGACAGTAGGGACGGTGGTGGAACCAGTGGGGACAGTGGTGGTGAGGACAGTGGCGCTGGGAACAACAGTGGGGGATATGATGCGGCGGTGGTAGGGACCGGGTGTCGTTTGCTTTCGGTGCGTGTGGGGGGGGTGTCGTCGCCGCTTGTGACCCCCTCCGGTTTTCGAGGGGGGGGGGGGGTTCGAACGGGTAGTGACCCCCCCCGCTTTTCCAGATCCGGAGGGGGGGGGGAGGGGTTCCAACCGGTAGTGACCCCCCCGGTTTTCGATGGGGAGGGGGGGGGAGGGGTTAGGGGAGGGGGGGTTTTGCCGGGGAGAGGGGGGGGGGGGGGTCCAGCATGGGGGGGGGGGGATTTTCGGAGGGGGGGGGGGGGGCGACCCCCGGGTTCCGCCGTGCTTCGGGCGTCTTGGCCGATCGCCTACATCGCCTGCAAAACAACTTGTCCCCCATGTCGACCAGATCGTGGTCATGCAGCAACGGGCCTATCTTGATTTCCGCAGGCACTGGCTGCCGAGTCGTGGCCGCAGTGAGCACGGCTCTCTCTCTGACCACAGTTCGATCTGGCAACTCCTTTGGACAGCCCAGCCCAAATACTTGGCGTACTGGGCGGATCATACGAGGCAATCTTCGTAGAATTTCGCATGGCCGTCGGGCACCTTGACAGACAGGGCCCCTAGCTTGGCGAAGAAAGCGGCCCACATGTTCCCCACAAGCCACAGGTACGGAGGAGGAGGGGGGGGGTCCTTAGGAGCGGGGAAGAGAACCTCATTCTCGGTCATGTGGTGTGGGACGGGGCCCAAGCAAAACTCGGAGGCGCTCGCTTCAAGCTGACAAGCTGCCTCCACACGCCATGGTACGCAGCGCTGGCACAGATCATTTTTTCGATCGCACCCTCGCGCCAAAACTCTACTTCGCTCACGACACCGAGCAAATCACTGACAATGAGCCTGACCGGCATCACGTGTCGTAGTGCCCTCAGTCCAGCCACTCTCTCTGCTCGTCCTACAGTTTGCTGCAGGCCTGCGAGCCCGCCGTACACAGCGCGCAAAGGGACTCCATTGGCATTCAGCATGACGGCTGACCAGCCGTACCGACGCAGCTCTGGGACATCATTCTGATATCCAGAACCGTCGGTAAACACATCATCACTCCAGTCTGCCTTGGGCGAACCCCAGTCACCCCCAAAAAACAAGGTGGGTCGTTCGGCGGCTGCGGCACCTCGACGTTGGGCCACCGAAGGGTCCCGATCGCAATTGCAGACGAGTCAATCTCCTGACGGCCTTCTCCGATAGGCCCTTGCTCCAACATGGAGTTGCGAGCCACGGCCAACTTCGGATCCAGGCCACAGTCCTCCTCGTCATCAAGCAAACGCTGAGTCAACGCTGGGCACTCGACGAACGCATGGCCCAGTGTCTCGGCCTCGTGTGGGCAGGCTTTACACTTCTGATCATCACGCAGACCATGCTTGAACAGCTTAGCCTTGGGCCACAGAGAATCTGACCACAGGCTGCGAAGTGCGCCCGCCCGTCCTGCCCCCGTCGCCGTCACCGCCCTCCCTCCTACGCAGGCGCGCAGGCCTGTTTGCCAGGGCATGCTTCTCGTCGGTGCCGCAGAGTGGTGTTCGGCAATCTGGCGCATCTGCCAGCGCTGGATCCCCTGGCGGAGGATATCGCGACAAAAATCGAGGCGGCGCGGCCAGCAGCAAAGTCGCTGGCCCCTCATTTGGCGCGGTCAGCAGCGACGACCACATGACCCAGCCGATCCGCTTGCGCGAGGGGATGACCGCCTTGGGCGGGCCCCTAGCCGACGCCCGCGTGAGCTTGTCCTCTCCAGCTTCAACCCTGTCCAGCAGCACTCGCCAGGCACTCTCCGGCCCTGTCCGGCCCGCCCAGGCCGATCTCCTGCTGCCGGATCACCCTCGCGCAGTGCATGAGATCGGGTCGTAGTGCGGGCTCTTCTGGCCGGCGAGGTAGAGCGTGGTGCTGCCTCCTCTCCTCCTGGCCCCCGCCAGCCGCGCGGCCCCCGAACGCGCCGCTGCCGGCGCGGGCGGGGCCACCCCGCCCGCGGCAGCGCCATGGGCCGCGGCTGGCAGGGGGCCCGTCTGCCACAGGCGCGCCGCTCTGGCGCCCGCAACTCGCCTGAGCCTCGTCGCGTGCGTGTCCGTAGCTTCTCGAGCGTGGCCCTTGCGACCGCCCTCCTCGCACTGGAACCGTCGAGGTCGCGGCCCAGGTTCCGCATGTGTCGGCAGGCCCCAATCTTGCCCCGCTTGGCGAAGGGCTCGGCCGCCACCTTCCATTGTCTCGACGACGCCACATAGCCGGACTTGAGCACCTGCCTCGATGTCGTGATTGTAGCGCTTGACGGCCTCCCAGAGCACCCGCGCCGCCTGCGGGTCCATGCCGACGCGCTGCGCGGAGGCGTCATCAGCCATTGTTTCCCGGATGACCTCGAACCGAGCGAGCCGCTCGAGCGCCCTCGCCGTAGCCACCGCCAGCGCCGCCATCGAGTGGGAGCACCCAGCAAGGATGCATTGGGGCGCGGCGTAGCTCCTCGGGAGCGCCATGCGCCTTCAAGCGCCTCGGCAGGTGGTGGTGCTTGGGGATCGCCCACGTGAGGCGCAGCGGGTAGCCCATCCACTTGGCCTCCTGTATCACCTGCCTCCCAATCAGACTGTCGAACGCCTTCCAGGCATCGAGGAGCACGGTGATGATGTGGCCTCCGTTGAGGTTCGCAATCTCCGCCGTCAGGTCATGGTGGAAGGCCGCTGTCGATGACGCCCTGCCGGCGCCGCCTATGCCCCAGAGGTTGGGCGCGTCTGCGTTTGCCGGCCAATCTCTCGAAACCGTAGACCTCGCTTTAGCCCATGGCCGAAGAGAGGAATTGACTCGGCAATCAATCTGCAACCCCCGCTCTTCTTAGGAAGTCGAACCAAAACCGTGTGCAGCCTGCTCGTCGGCCACTCTCCTAGCTTCTCGCACTGGCTGAAGAGCGCCGACAGCACGAACAATCCGATGTCGCTGAGCTGCCACAGAGCCCTCGGGGCGATGCCCGTCTGGCCCACGGCCATCCTCTCCTTGAAGCGGGGCGCGGCCGTGCGAAGGTGGTCGACGCCCATCCTCGGCAGCTCGGCCCAGCTGTCGAAGTCAGTGGCTTCTCCAGCGAAGGCTCCTCATGGCACGTCCGGACGTCGGTCCACCCCAGGACCTCGTGGTCGGCCATCTGGCGCGGGCTGCCTCGCGCGGTGGCCCTCCGCACCTCGGCTGCAGGTGGCAGCCTGGTGAGCGCCGCCCTCCAGGCTCTTGGCGGCCCAGCTGCGCTGCTCCTTCTCGCGCTCCCTGTTGCAGCACCTGGTGAGCTGCAGCTGCGCGCCCCGCTGGGCGTGGGCCATCTGCGCCAGGCCCCCTTCGAACCACTGGGCCACCTCGTCGGGGCGCTGGCTCCCGATGCGGCCCGACCCCGCCGCGTTGGCGTAGCAGCGGTGGGTCCCGATGAGCAACTCGACCACCTGCTCAATGTTATCCTCGGCTCTGCCGTCCAGGGCCGCGTCGCACGCCGGCAGCTTCCCGGGGCGGCTGTGGCTGGCGCCCAGGTGCCTCGTCCAACTCGCAGCCGCCATGCGGGCGCTCACCTTCGGGTCGTGGGGCTTCCTCTTGCGGGGCGGCTGTCACTTGGGCTGGGCCAGCTTGACGGCGGGCTCGCAACCTCGACCCGCATGCTGCTTCCTCGCCGCGCCGACCAGGTACCAGCGGTTGCATAGTTCAGCCTCTGTCGCACTGACAGCTGCGCCCCACGCCTGATCCAACCCGCTGGTCTCGGACGCGTTGAGGCCCAGCTTGAGCGCCTTCTCCTGCGTGCGCTCACGGGGGAAAGGCCCCGCTCCCACTGGCGCGACCGCTGCGATCCCACGCGGCCCGACGGCGACCCGCGCATAGGCCTCGCGGCCCACCGTGGAGATGTCCGCGTGGGCGGGGTAGCGCGGGCGCAGCGACGCGTCGGTCGCGACGCGCGCCTCGCCCTGCCTGGGGTCCAGGTTCGGCGCCGCGATGACGTCGTCCAGGATGGAGCCTTCGGCCGCTTGCCAGCTGGTCGGCTCTGGCGGCGCGATGGGGATGCCTCGCACCTCCCTGGGCCGCGGCCCAATGAGCTCATCCATCTCCATATTCCAGTCGCACGTGGCCACCCAGTCGAGCCCGCGCGCGTTGAGCGCGCGCAGGGAGGTCATCAGCTCATGGACCGTGTCGCCGTCGTTGTCGCCCATGCCGACAGTGAGCCGCAAGTGTGTTGCGACGACGATCAATCAGGCCACCCTTCACGCTCCAGTGCACGTGGCCTGCCAGCGGCCTCGCCTCCTCCAGGATGGGGGAGGGCACGAAAGGGCGGCGCGGTGACCGAGATCGCGTGGCGCGCGCGGAGCGCCGCCCCGCCCGACACCTCGAGCGCTCCAGCGCCCGTGGCCTGGCTTGGGGCCCACATCCCGTGGTGGCCCGGGTCGCGCACCTGGCCCTGCAGCGAGCTCAGCTTGTCGCCGAGGGCCCTGTGCTCTTGCGCCGCGAACAGGTTGCCCTCGGGAGCTTCGGCCGGGTACTCCTTCAGTTCTCGCCCACGTGAAACGTTGACCGTGGTCAGCGCGCCTATGGCAACGGCCAAACTGCCCATAGTACTTGCCGCTGCTGTAGCTTCCGTCATCTCGACACAATGCCTCTCGCCTTAGTAAGCCTGGTATGGCCCACTGGCTGGGGGCCGACGCCATCTTGTCCGCCATGGCCCCGATGGCGCGCTCGCCGTCGGGCGCCGCCATTCCAGCCTCCGCGAGGCTGGCCAGCAGCGTCCCGATGGGCGCCACGTCGGCGGCGCACTTGAGGCGCTCGGGGCCGGGCGCCCGCGCGCCCGGCCTCGCCGGGGGCGCCCCGTGGGAGCTGGCCGAGCACGCTCGGCGGCAGCGGGCTGGGTGAGCACCCTCTCGGGGAACGCCGGGGGGGCCAGGGGCCGCTCCGTGGCCTCGCCCGAGGCGCCGAGCTCCTTGGAGCAGAGCCCCCTCCCGGCCCGCCGAGTTGATGTCGGGGCCCCGCTCGGCGGGCGCCGCCTGCTCGTCCGGCGGCTCGGGGGCCGCGGCACGAAGCTCGCGCATCCTCGCCCCCGGCTCGAGCTCGTCGGCCCGCGGCGCCTTGGCCCGTGGGCGCCCTGTCCTCGGGCGCCTACCAGGCTCGGGTGGCCGCCTGCTCGGCCTGGGCCGCCGCCCCCCTCCTGCCTGGCGATGGCGTCCCGCCTCGCCTTGAGCTTCTCCTGCAGGGCCAGCAGCTGCGCGGGGGCGGGCTTCTTCGAGCGGGCGGCCTCCAACAGCCTGCGCATCCGCTCGTCGAGCTTGTCGATCGTGTCCCTGACCAACTGCGACGGCGACGTGAGAGCACGGAGGCCGCGCAGCTCTTCGTCCAGTTGTGCCAAGGTCTCCCGCTGAGATTCATCTTCGTCTCCCGCGGCGCCGTCCTCAGTGACCTTCGCCGCCTCCGACAGGTGCCCCATTGGTCTTCTTCGCAGCCCGTAGACTCTTGGTCTTCTCTCGCAACTTGGCCATCTCCTCCTGCGTGGCGACATTCTGCACGGCCTCGCCGCCTTGACCACCTGCAGCCGCTGGGCTGCTCGGCTGGCGGCGGCGTGAGAGTCCTCCCTCCCCACGCGCGCGGCCGGGGAAAGCAACTGACTCGTCGCACCCACAGAAGTGGCCTTGCTTCTTGTTTCCGAAGGTAACGCAGGACATCCCAACCTTGGGCCCTCGCTCGTACTGGCAGAACTTGCAGTACCAGTCTGGCGTGATCTCCCCGCGACCTCCTCGCGCCATGGTTCCTTGCCTGTCCCCTGGTGCAGCGAGGCCAGCCACGCGCGCGTGCTCACTTGCGGATCGCAGGAGGCACCCAGGCGGATCACAGGAGGCACCCAGGGACCCGAGGCGGATCAGGCCCTGGCAAGAACCGGCTGGTTCCAGCCGCGGGCTAGCGGTATCCATGTGTTCCTTTGTGGAACAAGGCATGTTGAACTAGAATGGCTACGGAAGAGGAGGAGGAGGAGGAGGGGGAGGAGGAGGAGGAGCAAGTCGGATCTCGATCTGCATGCCAGCAGCGCCAGCGGCAGGAGCAGGAGGAGCAGGAACATGACGAGGAAGAGAAGGAGGGGGAGGGGGAGGGAGCAGGGAGGAGCCTTCATTTGCTTGAGGAGAAGCCCCCGCTGCCCCGCCGCCTCCCCCGCCCGACGCCGAGGACACCGGGGAGACGTCCTCCGATCCGAGGTTGGAGGCCCTTGGTTAGAGGAGGGGCAGAGGAGGGAGCATGTGGATATGGAGGAGAAGGGGGAGGATCACAGGAGGGGGCGGGTGGTGGTAGGAGGAAGAGGGGGGGCGATGGGGAGGATGAGGAAAGGGGGGGGGTGAAGACTGGGAGGTGGAGGTTGAGCAAAAGAAGGAGGGGAAGGAAGCGGAGGAGGAGGATGAGGAGGAAAAGTAGGAAGACGAGGAACAGATGAGGGATGATCATAATCCTGATTATGCTGTTGATAATGGTGTTGGTGATGATGAACATTACTATGATCATGCTGCTGATGATGATGCTGATGATGGTGATGATGTTGGTGCTGGTGGTGATGATGCTGATGATGATGGTGTTGTTGCTGATGATGGTACTGATGGTGATGATGCTGCTGCTGATGATGATGATGGTGGTGATGACGATGCTGTTGATGATGATGAGCGATGCTGGTGATGATGATGATGGTGATGATGATGATGGTGGCGATGATGGTGATGATCACGCTGATGATGCGACTGCTGATGATGATGGTGCTGGTGATGCTTAAGATGCTGATGGTGAAGCATCTGATGGTGGTGGTGATGATGCTGATGTTGCCGATGATGCGGATGCGGATGCTGCTAGTGATGAAGTTGTTGCTGTTGTCGATGATGGTGCTGATGCTGGTGCTGATGCTGCTGCTGATGACGATGCTGATGCTGATGCTGATGATGCTGACACTGATGACGATGAGGTTGCTGATGATGAGGGCGACGATGATGATGATGATGATGATGATGATGATGATGATGATGATGATGATGATGATGGTGAGGATGATGCGGATGATGAGGATGATGACAATGATGATGCTGCTGGCGACGATGATACGGATGATGATGATAATGATGATGATGATGTTCATGATGATGCTGCTGATCTTAATGCTGGTACTGAGGACGCTGACGATGTTGATGGTGGTGGTTGCTATGCTGATGAGGAGGATTGTGATGTCTGTAATGGTGATGGCGGCGATGATGACGATGTCGCTGACGTTGCGTCTCAAGCTGATGTTTGTGAGGGAGGGATGGTGAAGATGCTGTCCATGCTGTTGAGAATGATGCTGCTGCTGCTGATGATGATGATACTGATGATGACGATGTTGATGATGCTGCTGATGATGATGGCGTCGTTGTTGTCGTTGTCGCTGTCGTTGTTGTGGTTGTTGTTGTTGTTGTTGTTGTTGTTGCTTTTGAATATTATTGCTTCTAAAGAATAATTATTGTTGGGCCCCCTGGTGCACGCCCCCCTCGCCGCGCCTAGGCCGCAGCCACATTTTCATCATTTTCGTGAGGAAGTCTCAGGCAAAACGGGGGAGTCCGGATCCGGTTGTTTTGTTGACGCCCGCTTTCCCTGTCAAAAAACAATATAAAATGACATGTCTTGTTCTAACATAACCAAACTTCAAGAATCCTTTGCAAAAAATGACACGAAGTGCACACTCGCGCGCGCAAGATGAAATCCTTCCAAAACCTTAGTTTTCGTAGCGATTTTAACATAAAAACATGAAAAACCCAATGGTTTTTCAAAAAAAAAGTTTCAAAAATTCATCCCGCGCGCTCTTGCGGATTTCTTAGGAAACCCAATACTTTTTCAACATTTCTGTCAAACGGGCTCTTGCGAGCAACTTTTTCGAACTTCTGCAACAACGGTTGCGCACCTGCCAGGGCCATCATCCCTGTCAAATAATACCATGCGGGACACATTCGTTTTTTCTTCGCGCGCGCACGCCGTCGTCGTCGGCCGCGGGGCCCTGAATAGTAGCCACGGTCGTCCGCATGCCACGAAGTGAAGTGTCCGAACGTCATAGGGCGGGAAGCTGGGTGTGGGTGGTGGCGAAGAGTCGTTTGGAAATTTGGTAGAGCTTGAACCGGCCCCCCCACAAAGTGGGGGTATTGCCCGCCTCCTATGAAAACCCTGGCACTGGTGAGAACGGAGTGTCCCCACGTGCTAGTAATTGTTGTTGTTGTTGTTGTTGTTGTTGTTGTTGTTGTTGTTGTTGTTGTTGTTATGTTAGTGCTGCTGTTGTGCTTGTTGTGGTTGCAGTTGTTGTGGTTGACGGTGGTGGCGAGTTTGCAGCTGATGATGCTGCTGTTGTTGCTGGTGGCGAAGATGCTGATGATGATGCTGATGATGCTGATGATGATGATGATGACGATGGTGCCGCAGTTGATGATGATGAGCGATGCTGATGGTGATGATGCTGCTGATCTAATGATGAGTCTGGTCAGGTTTATCATGACGATTATGCTGATGAGAATGGCGGTGCTGATAATATGCCGCTCATGCTGCTGTTGATGCTGCTGATGATGATGATGGTGGTGATTCCGGTGATGATAATGCGGCTGATGACGATGATGGTGATGGTGATGGTGGTGCTGTTGATGCGGCTGCTGATGATGATGGTGATGTTGATGATTATGATGTTGCTGATAATGATGATGATGATGGTGGTGGTGTTGATGATGATGGTGGTGATGCTGATGATGATGATGGTGATGGTGATGATGCGGATGCTGATGATGATGATGATGCTGATGATGCTGATGCTGATGATGATGATGATGACGATGATGAAACTGATGACGATGATGATGATGCTGATGGTGATGATGATGATGCTGATGATGATGATGCTGCTGATGATGATGATGATACTGATGCTGATGCTGATTCTGATGATGATGATGATGATGATGATGACGATGACGATGACGATGACGATGATGATGATGATGATGATGATGATGATGCTGATGATGATGATGATGATGATGAGGATGATGATGCTGATGATGATGATGATGATGATGATGATGATGATGATGATGATGATGGACATCGTTTGGGCCGTCTTGGGGCTGTCTTGGTTCCTTGGGGCCCTCTTGGGCCGTCGTTGGGCCCCCTTGGCCGTATGGTGGGTGCCTGGGGACCGCCGCGGGTCCGTCTTGGCGCCGTCGTGGGCCATCGACGGGCCTTCTACGGCCGTCGTTGGTCCCACGGGAGGTCCTCTTGGGCCGTCTTGGGGCCACCTTGGATGCCTCTTAGGCCATCGTGGAGTCTCCTTTGGCCGTCCTGAGCTTTCGGTAGCCTGCAATGGCGAGATTGCGAAATGCAAATCGAACACCCAAGGCGTCGGACCTTGCTGGAGGTCGTCTTGCAGCCATTCTGGGCCAATTTCGCGGCATCGTGGGATCAATATTCGGCCCCCTCGGGGCAATCGTGGGCCGTCGTCGAGGCATCTTGGGTCATCCTGGCGCCCTTGGTTGCTTGCACGGGCCGTCTTGGAAGCTCGGGGCGCGTATCCATAGTTTCTAACGGGGGGTCGTTGCCTGTGAGGCCCTGGGGCGCCGTAGTTTATGATTATATGCAGTCGAGGCTTAGGCTTATCTCGCAGCCCTTAGTTTTAACGTTAGCGCTAGCGTTAATGCAACCTGCTGCATCATGCTATCAGGTTTCTGGAGAAGTTAGTGGCGCAGGTTTCAATGTGAGTGTAGGCACGGATTCTGTTCGACCAGTATCGCCCATCATGTTCGCACAGACCCCTAAGTCAGCCTGGATTGGGATGGTTTGACTTTGCTAGCTCAGCATTTGTTTTGCCAGTATGAGGCTGAGTGCCTAAGCTTCATTCCGTGTCCTCTTAGTCTTGTTTATGTCTAAAAGCATTGAGCTTAGCTGAACATCTATCATGTCGATGGTTTGTACCCATGGTACCTTCTTGCAGTTTTCTTGATCGTCTGCCACATGCCAGCGTGCCGTACCTCTTGGCACTCGTTCCTTCTTATGTCCGTGCTTGTGCTGCGTTTAGTCCTGCGAAGAGCCATCAGAGCCATGCATGTTTTTTTTCTCCATCGGTGCGTGCCTACCGAGAGGAATTGACCTCACGTCTGCATTGTTTACAGCCGAATTTTTGATGGCCCCCCTATGCACCTAAAGCGTGCCACTCGTGCATGGCCCCAACCTTTTCCCACTCGCACTCCCACTCCCGTTCGTACTCGCGAGCTGATTCATAAAGTCGTCTACACGATTGTACTCCCATGCTTTTGTACAAACAAACAATGTACCCGTTTGCGCGACATTCGAATGCTTACCATAGATTGCCCAAACAGTGGTTGCACTTAGGTGTTCTTATTTCTCTTTACAGAACTGGGCCTGTCTGCTGGTCTGGCTTCCGTAATGCAGCCGTCGCGACCCTGAGCCCGCCTCATTGTTGCCCGTCGTTTGGGCCTGTCTGCCAGTCTGGCGGCTATTTTGCCGCCGTCGCCGCCCCGTCGCCGCTTCGTCGCCAGCCGTCGTCTGGGCCTGTCTGCCGATCTGGCGGCTATGGTGCACAACATAGAGTGCACCAAATAGATTACACCACATATATTGCACAACTTAATTTGCACAACATGGATTGCACCACATCTTTATCACAGCATCGATGACACGACATATATTGCACCACGTACATTGCACCGCCTAGGTTGCAGCACATATATTGCAACTTGTAGATTGCATCACCTACCCTTCACCCCATATTTTGTCCAGCGTCCATTGCATCATCTTGGTTGGACCACATCGGTTGCAGAGCATATATTGTACCACCTTGACTACACCCATAGATCGCGCAACATAGATCGGACATCACGTATGCACAACATACATTGCACCACCTAGGTTGCACCACCTATATTGCACCACATTTATTGCATCACATACATTGCAGCACCTAGGTTGCACCACACAGGTTGCACAACATATATTGCACCACCTAGACTGCACCCCATGTATTGCACAGCGTAGGTTGCAGAACTTGTGATGAACCACATATTTTGCACCATCTGGAGAGGACCACCTATATTGCACAATATAGACTGCATTATTTAGATCACACCCCATATATCGCCCAACAGAGCTCGCACACCAGCTATTGCATACCATATGTTGCACCACCTTGGTAGCACCACGTCGATTGCACCACATGTATTCAACCTTTTAGACTGCACCACATGTATTGCACACCGTAGATGGCACACCGTAGATTGCACAGCATGCGTTGCATCATGTATAGGGTGCACGACGTGGACTGCACATCCTAGATTGCACCCCGTATATTGCACCATGTAGATTGCACACCATATATTGCACAACATATGTTGCACTTCATATCTTGCACAGCATAGGATGCACACCATCTAATGCATCACATCGATTGCACAACATATATTGCACCACGTAGATTGCTCCGCATATAGTGCACCACATTTACTGTCCCACATGGGTGAACCTATCATGAATTGCGCATAGTGTATTTCATCACGTATATTGCTATACACATTGTTTGGGGTTCACGCTGGCTGCCTATACATATGTATGTATGTATGTATGTATGTATGTATGTATGTATGTATGTATGTATGTATGTATATATGTATGTATGTATGTATGTATGTATGTATGTATGTATGTATGTATGTATGTATGTATGTATGTATGTATATATGTATACATATATATAGATGTATGTGTGTATGTCGGCCTACGCCGATCGAATCACCAAATGCAACATCTATGTGTTCCCCCTCTCGCTTTGAGCTTTCTCTATGCCCCTGTGCTCAACTTGCAGTTCTTCCCTTCATCGTTATGAGAGCATGCTCGCGTGCTCCGACGCGCATGTTTACATCCCTGCTTCTATTCTTCACTACTCTGTCCGGATTCTTTGACCGACTCCGATATCTTGGCAGGCGTTGGGTTTTCCGTTGCGTTGCCCTCGCCAGATCTGCACCAAGCCCATGTCCTTGGACAAGCACGGCGTAAGGCACGCCGCGCTACGCTGCTCGGCGGCGACTGGAGAAGAGGGCGATCCACGATTCGACTGGATAGGCCGACGGAGTTTTGGCAATTTCGATCCTTCCGATTGCCGTTGCTTGCGAGAGTGGTGTTGGGTTCGGCTGGATCCCGCCCTTTGGGGGAGCGACTCTCGACTTGCGCGCAGTTGTGTCCAGAAAAGGCTGCACTGAGCTCCAGTACTCGGGTGGAGGATTTTCGACTGCTCTGCCGCTCCCCTGGAGGCGTTGGGCAATGCGATGCCTCCTCTGCCCTCGGTGACGGCACCTCCGGCCTTTTGGCGCTTGGGCGGGCTGGGTTCGGATAGACATGAAGGGCATCATGAACTTTGCATGAGTCGGGCGAATAGAACTATGCACATGCACCGATTCTGGCAAGGCCCATCCTTGACCCAGGATCGGTGCAGATGCCTTCCTGGCCAAGGTAGGAGGGCGTATGCACCGATCCTGGGCTCAGGATGGGCCTGGCCGGAATCGGTGTATGTGCATAGTTCTTCTTCCTCTAATGGGGTAGTGTGGAGAAGTGCGGCTCTCGGCGATTCGCGAACTGATCGACGATTGCCACCACGATGACACGATTTGACGCTGCCGATCGGGATCCCTTCTCTCCCTGGGCTCTCCCCCTTATCTCTCCCCCTGCTCTCTGCCCCCTCCCTCGTTTCCCTTTGCCCTTCTCCCACCTCCCAGTTCGCTTTCCACTGTCCCTCCCCCGAGACCACTTCCCCCCCCTTCGCGCTTCCCCTCCCTGCGTGCGCAGGGGCACAGCGTCTGGCGCGCATGCCCAAAGTTTTGCACATTCGTTCTGCGGCTCAGCTCCCTTGCCCTACTTGCCTGATCAACTCTCCTCACGGCCGGGCTGCTCCCCTTCCCGTTACCTCCCCCCTTTTCTCCGAGGAGCATGAAGTATTGATATTGACAGTTTTTTTGTTTGAAGGTTTTCAGGTTTTCCCGTTTTTCCGCGCGGGCTCCAGGGACGAATGGTCGAGCGCATTTCGTCGTGCATGTTCTTTGCGTGATGTGCGCGGTGCGCTTTTCGCGCATCGGAGCGTCTTCGGAGATTTCAAGCTGCATTTTGTTTTGCTCTTGGGGAGTTCGTGAATCGCAGCTGCCGTGGCGTGATTTTCGAGGTAACCCCTTCGAGCGCTGTTCGCGGGCGCAGGGCGTGGCGCGCGCTGCGCCCAATCGCACGCGGCGCGGTGCGTGAATCAGCCGGCCGCGCCCGTCGGACCGCCCGGAAATTATTTCTGGATTGTAGAATGTTTCGGAAAGCGCTTCCGTTTTTTTGGCGCAAGCGGTCCCCGAAATGTTCAAAGATGAATCCGGGATTTTTTGGGGCAGCGAATGAGATATAAACATCTCAACATATTTTTGGGGTGGAATGCGTCCGCAGCGCAGGACATCTGAAGGATTCTGAACTCGGTAATTTTTCAAACTGGATTCCGGAACTTCCCAAAGTCGATCCCAGAGTTTGTCCAACATCGATTCTGGCATTTTTTCAAAAAGTAGGCCCGACATGTTCAAAAACGTTTTTTTTTTTTTTTTTTTTTTTTTTTTTTTTTTTTTTTTTTTTCTCGGAATCTTCAGATCCACCCCCGGATAATTGTCCAGAGTCGCGCGTGGTTTGTTTTACCAGGTCTCTGGAAGTCCGCCGGGGCGCGCAGTGCGCGTCGGCGGGCGACAGGACGGCGTGCCGCCGTCCCTCCAGCGCTCGGCAGCGAAGAGGGGGATCAGCAAGTTCCAAATTCACCCCCACCTCCTCCTCCTCCTCTCCTCCCTCTCCTCCTCCTCCTCCTCCCCCGGGCGACAATACCCGATTGCGAATAGGTGGCCGACCAGCGGCGCCAGGAATAATAGACAACACTCGACGCAAAGTGTACCCCGCGCGAGAGGTTGTTAGACCCCCCCCGGAACGTATCAATAGCACGTTGTGTCAATAGATGTTTCTCGTCCTACCTTTCCCTCTCCCCTTCTTCCTCTCTTCCGCCCCCCCCTCCCCCCCATGTTACCCCCTCCCGTTTTACATCGCGCACGCGGAAATGATGAGACATGTCTTTTTCTCCCCCCTGCCAGCGCCCAGCCGCACACTCAGTTCTGTCTCGTGTTTGGTTCTCATATTCGAAGGTCTATGTTTTTTTTTATCGCATGTGTGCTTTATCAATCAACAGGGGAACATCCGAGCGGACACTGAGTTATGATGTTTATGTAATTGTTCGTTCCCTTAGTCAAGCACGGTGTTCCCGCCGCAGCGTTGATCTGAGGATCGGCGCTTTGCTGCTCCTGTCGCTCACAGTGGAGAGCTCTTGACCGAGCGCCATAAGTCTGAATTCCGTTTCTACCTCTTTTTTTCCGCCCCCCTTTTTTCCTGTGACGCGCGAAGTGTGGGTTTAGTCTTTGTTGGGGTAAGAGAGCGACCTCAGCTTTTGCCCGTCCCTGACGCGCGGAACGCGCTGGGGGCGGCGCTGGAGGCGCCGCCAGGGGGTCTCCAGCGACGATCCGAGAAACCCGCGCGGACTTCCGAGTTTTCTGTTTATGTCATTGCTTGTTCCCCTATTCGACCGCTCGATCGAAGTTCGATCGGTCGATCGAGGTCCGGTCGATCGACGTTCGATTCGAGGCTTCCTTTCGATCGATCGCGATTCGATCGGTCGATCGAGGTTCGAGGTTCGCCGTCGTCGAGGCGTCCTTGCGATCGATCGCAGATGAGGAGGAGGTATCGATACTCTGCTCGTCCTTGAGAGTCCCCGGCGCCACCGCTGGATTCGCATCGAAGTCCTAGTCAGAACGCACCCTGGGAGAGATCTGGGGAGTATCGGTATTAGTACCTTCTTGTTTTCTCTTGTTTCTCCACGATCGAGGTTCGAGCTTTGCCGTCGTCGCCCGTCGATCTCTTGACTCTCGCGGGCAGTCTTCTGACGGTCCCGGGGTTTGGCCCGGGCTTCTGGAGGCCGACAACGGCCAAAAGCTTTCTGTCGGGGAACAAATGAAGAGATACATATAGCATTTCGGAGGTCCGCGCTGATTTCTCGGATTGGCGCTGGAGCCACCTGGCGGCCCCTCTGGCGCCGCCCCTGGCGCGCTCCGCGCGCCAGGGGGGGGGGGGTCCAGCGCCGTTCCATGCTTATGCCATTTGTTGGTCCTCTATTCCAGCGTTATTTTTCGTCCCTGCACCACTCGATCACAACGATAACAGCGTTAATACATACAACACGATGCCAGCGATCAGCAACGATAACGCTTGTCGCAACGATCACAACGATAACAGCTGTCACAGCGACTGCGATGACAACGATCCGATCGACGCGAGCATGTCTGGCACCGCGCCGTCTTCTCGGATTCCCCAGGCCCGCCCGCGGCCGCGCAGCGCCAGCGGCCACTGCGCGCTCGCGCGCCGCGGAAGCCGCCCGCTCGCCGCCAGGAGTCCGAGCGTGCCGCGGGCCAAGGTGGAGCACCACACGCGCTTTTTCACGTTTCCTTCCTCATGACGCTCGGCTGCCGCAGACGCTTTTTTTCCCCCACATGCTTTGTGGGGTTCTGGTTTTCTTCCCACCCGCGCCGCACCCGCGTCTCACCCACACCCGCCCTCCTCCCCTCCTCCTCCTCCTCCCCCTCCTCCTCACGCACACAGCACAGCGCAGCGCAGCGCAGCGCAGCACAGCACAGCACAGCACAGCACAGCACATCACAGCGCAGCGCACACAGCACAGCAAAGCACAGCACAGCACAGCACACACACACACGGCTTGGCACGTGCGGCACACTCTCGACGCCATAGTGGTCGTCCACGGCACAGCAGGCGTGACAGTTTTGCACAGCACACCTGCACAGCACAGCACAGCATAGCACAGTACAGCACACCGCAGCACAGCACGGCACGGCACAGCACAGCACATCGCAGCACAGCTCAGCACAGCATAGCACACAGGGCAGGCGCGCAGGGCACGGCACGGCAGAGCGTGGCAGGGGTGGCACTTTCTCGACACCACAGGGGGTGCGTAGGGGGTGGTCCCTGAGCTCGGCCGCTATGCACGACGGTTGTCCAGGCAAAGCAGGCGTGGCTTTTTCTCGACACCAGAGGGGGTGCGCAGGGGGTGGTCCCTGAGCTCGGCCGCTATGCACGACGGTCGTCCAGGCACAGCAGAAGTGGCACTTTCTCGACACCATGGGGGTGCGCAGGGGGTGGTCCCTGAGCTCGGCCGCTATGCACGACGGTCGTCCAGGCACAGCAGGCGTGGAACTTTCTCGACACCAGAGGGGGTGCGCAGGGGGTGGTCCCTGAGCTCGACCGCTATGCACGACGGTCGCCCAGGCACAGCAGGCGTGGCACTTTCTCGACACCATAGGGGGTGCGCAGGGGGTGGTCCCTGAGCTCGGCCGCTATGCACGACGGTCGTCCAGGCACAGCAGGCGTGGCACTTTCTCGACACCATAGGGGGTGCGCAGGGGGTGGTCCCTGAGCTCGCCGCTATGCACGACGGTCGTCCGCACAGCAGGCGTGGCACTTTCTCGACACCACAGGGGGTGCGCAGGGGGTGGTCCCTGAGCTCGGCCGCTATGCACGACGGTCGTCCAGGCACAGCAGGCGTGGCACTTTCCCGACACCAGAGGGGGTGCGCAGGGGTGGTCCCTGAGCTCGGCCGCTATGCACGACGGTCGTCCAGGCACAGCAGGCGTGGCACTTTCTCGACACCAGGGGGTGCGCAGGGGGTGGTCCCTGAGCTCGGCCGCTATGCACGACGGTCGTCCAGGCATAGCAGGCGTGGCACTTTCTCGACACCTCGCAGGGGGTGGTCCCCAGCTCGGCCGCTATGCGCGACGGTCGCCAGGCACAGCAGGCGTGGCATTTCTCGACACCAGAGGGGGTGCGCAGGGGGTGGTCCCTGAGCTCGGCCGCTATGCACGACGGTCGTCCAGTCATAGCAGGCGCGGCACCTCCTCGACACCATGGGGGTGCGCAGGGGGATGGTCCCTGAGCGCGGCCGCTATGCACGACGGTCGTCCAGGCACAGCAGGCGTGGCACTTTCTCGACACCAGAGGGGGTGCGCAGGGGGTGGTCCCTGAGCTCGGCCGCTATGCACGACGGTCGTCCAGGCATAGCAGGCGTGGCATTTTCTCGACACCACAGGAGGTGCGCTGGGGGGGGGTCCCTATGCACGACGGTCGTCCAGGGCATAGCAGGCGTTGCATTCTCGCGACACCATAGGGGGTGCGCAGGGGGTGGTCCATAATCGCGGCCGCTATGCACGACGGTCGTCCAGGGCATAGCAGGCGTGGCACTTTCTCGACACCAGAGGGGGTGCGCAGGGGGTGGTCCCTCACTGCGGCCGCTATGCACGACGGTCGTCCAGGGCATAGCAGGCGTGGCACTTCCTCGACACCATAGGGGGTGTGCAGGGGGTGGTCCCTCACCGCGGCCGCTACGCACGACGGTCGCCCAGGCACAGCAGGCGTGGCACTTTCTCGACACCACAGAGGGTGCGCAGGGGGTGGTCCCTCACTGCGGCCACTGTGCACGACGGTCGTCCAGGGCATAGCAAGCTTGACGCTTTCTCGACGCCAGACGGGGTGCGCAGGGGGTGGTCCCTCACCGCGGCCGCTGGCTGGCTCGAATCTGTCCTCGATGGAGGATAGAAGGCTAGGAAGAGGGAGGAGGTTGAAGCAATTTGGCGCTGGATGACACAAAGGGGAACATTCGCGACGAGGGCTCAGCACGCAGAATTGCGCTTACATTATAGACTTAGCAAACACATAACATTTAAATCAAGTATGTGGGGTTCCTCGGTCGCGCCATTTTTGTTGTTTCGTACATTTGTTAAAAGAGAACAAGACAATAAAAAACGACCCATCGACGTGATGCTCGCCGCCCGCTCGCCGCCAGGAGTCCGAGCGTGCCGCGGGCCACGGTGGAGCACCACACGCGCTCTTTCACGTTTTCTCCCTCATGACGCTCGGCTGCCGCAGAGAAAAAACGTGTGATTCTCCAGACGTTTTTTTTTTGTTTGTTTTTATTATTATTTTTATTATTATTATTTATTTTCCTTATGTGTAAAGCAAAAATAATGTTAAAAAATCATAAAAACGACCCATCGACGTGCTGCTCCATGGAAGCCGCGCGCGCGCCCGCCGAGGAGCCTCAGCGTGCCGCAGGCCAACCTGAGCCTGGCGCGCCGGGCCCTGGACGCGGCCGGGAGCGAGGCGCGGCCCCGCGCGCGGCCACGGCGGCGGCGGCGGCGGCGGCGGCCTGGGCGTACGGTAGGTTCGCGTCGTGTCGACGGGTACAAAGACCGACGGAAGACCGGGTACAAAGAACCGACGGAAGACCGACGGAAGACCGACGGAGAGAACGGGTACAAAGACCGACGGAAGTTCTGGCCCATCTGTGAGCCGGACGCGCTGTCGGCGTCGCCACGGATGGTGTCCACGTGAGGCAGGAGGCCGCCCGCCAAGCAGCGGCCGCTGTTGCACGGTTCGGGGCAGCATCTCGTTGTTGGGCACTGTGCCCATTCTTTCGGCACCAATTTTGGTACGGTAGGTTCGCGTCGTGTCGACCAGCGGCGACCCCAGCGCGGGCGTTCAAGGTTGAACGCCGCCGGCGACCCAGAATCGATCGATGTTGAACGATCGGACGTTGCGGCAGCGGCCGATCGTTCAAGGTTGAATGATCCCTGCGGCGTCAAAAGCCAACGCTGGGGTCGGCACGGCACGACCCTGCCGCAGCGTTCCGGAGGTCCGCGCGGATCTTCTGTCGGGACGACCTCAGGAGGAAAAGAAACGCACAGACACGATTCATCAGAGCCCCGAATCATCAGGGGTAACTCGGGTCAGGGATAACTCGGGTTCGTTTTTCGGGATTCCGAACCCGAGTTACCCCGGACCCGACTTACCCCGGATAGTTCGGGCGTCGAGAGCCCCGAATCATCAGGGGTAACTCGGGTCAGGGCTTACTCGGGTTGGTTTCCGGGATTCCGAACCCGACTTACCCCGGACCCGAGTTACCCCGGATAGTTCGGGCGCCCAAATTCATCCTCGATTCCCCAGGAAATATGGGAGAATCTGGGAAATTGGGGGAAGTGGGCGGGCAGACAGGGACCCAGAAAAGGGGGGGAGATGTGGGGAATGCATCTAGTTGTGTGTGTGTGTGTGTTTATTTGTGTGTCCCAGTTCCCCTTCACGACCGACGTGGGTACGGAGAGAACGGGTACAAAGACCGACGGAAGTTCTGGCCCATCTGTGAGCCGGACGCGCTGTCGGCGTCGCCACGGATGGTGTCCACGTGAGGCAGGAGGCCGCCCGCCAAGCAGCGGCCGCTGTTGCACGGTTCGGGGCAGCATCTCGTTGTCGGGCACTGTGCCCATTCTTTCGGCACCAATTTTGGTACGGTAGGTTTGCGTCGTGTCGACCAGCGGTGACCCCAGCGCGGGCGTTCAAGGTTGAACGCCGCCAGCGACCCAGAATCGATCGATGTTGAACGATCGGACGTTGCGGCAGCGGCCGATCGTTCAAAGTTGAATGATCCCTGCGGTGTCAAAAACCAACGCTGGGGTCGGCACGACACGAACCTGCCGTACCAATTTTGTCGGTACCAATTTTGGTACCAATTTTTGTGGTTGGGCACTCTGCTCATTTTTTCGGCACCAGTGTTGGGTGTCCAACTTTTGGAGTGGCGCTGGGTCCCCGTGGCGGGGCGTCTGGCGCCGCCCCCGGGGTGCGTTCCGCGCGCCCGGGGAGGGCGGGGCGGCGCGGATTCCTGACGTCTGCGTGGAGCTCCCCCCAAACAGTGACACGTCGATTGGTGAATTGTCCGTTCTCGGTCCTCGAGAGGGCGCCGTGGCCGTTGTTTTCCAGGCTCGCGCCCGCCAGGTTTGGGCCTCGGGTCGTCTTCACGAAACCACGTCTTACGAAAGGGGGGTCTGTCCATCCCCGAAAGGGGAGGATCAGGGCGAGGAACAGGGCGAGGAACAGGAGGAGGAGGAGGAGGAGGAGGAGGAGGAGGAGGAGGAGGAGGAGGAGGAGGAGGAGGAGAAGTTGTGCTTGTGCAGTTTTTTGGCTGCTCCTAGGGCGAGGAGGTGCGAGGGGGCCAGCCCTGCTCAGAAGGCTGCTCTCGATTCGACCTCGATCCGATGCGACAGCGGCGCCGGCCGGCCCGATTCTATTCGATTCCGATTCTGGGGCTCTGGACGCCCGAAATGGGTATTGAAAGAATGGGTACAATGCCCAACAGCAGTTCCTGTTCATTTTGAACAAGATCCGCTGTCCACGCCGCCGCGGCCTGTGTCCATTCGAGACAGGAGGCCGCCTGCCCAACAGCGGCCGCTGTTGGTTTGGGACAACATCTGCTGTTGGGCATCGTACCCATTTTTTCGGTACCCATTTCGGGCGTCCAAAGGGGCGATTCGATGCGACTCGATGCTTGCGTGGCGCTGCTGTGCATCCTGGCGCCGCCGATTCGATTCGGTCCCGACTCTTTGCCGATGCGGCTCGGTTCTCAGACCCCCGACGTCACGGTGTTATGCTTTTTCAGAACGTCGACCCCATGCTTTTTTCATAACGTCGACTCCCACAGGTCTCGGTCCATTACCAGGGTCCGGTTTTTCATTCCGAAGTATTTTTGTTGACGGTCCCGAGGCCCAGTCAAGGCCCCCAGAGGTCGACAATTGGCAAAGTTTCCCGTCGCTCGATGGGGAGCCCGATGTTTTCCACGCCGACGTCGCTGATGTATCCCCAGTGCCCCGGTGATTCATTGACGATGCGGCGCCAATATCCTATCGCATCTACTCAGATCCCATAGTGGAGGCCTTTCTTACAGCTCCCCACTTTTTCTGGGACAACTCTCGACTGAATGGTTTTGGCGTCTAGAGATTTCCGGGTGCCATTTCTGGCCCCTGGGACCGTCAAAGAACAATCAACTCGGAGTGACAATCCGATCCTAAGGGGTCCAGGTCTCTGGGGGTCCACGTGGAGAAGAAATAACGACGTCGGAGTTCAGGGAGGGTCAGATGCGGAAAAAGTGCAGATACCGCCAAGCTTTCCTCGTCTCCACGGCTGGATTCATCCGCCTCGAAATCCTGATCAGATCGCGCCCTGGGAACAATTTGGGGAGGAGTAGCAGTATCGGTATCTGTCTGGTTCTCCAGAGCTTGGCAGCCGGTCTTGGCAACCACGCTGCCCTTTTTTCCGCCCGTGTTCCTTTCCTGGTCTTCTTTCTCCTCCCTGGCTGGTACTCGTGGTGGAGATCCTTTTCAATTGGGAAGCTGGCACTTTTCTCATCAGCGCGGTGGTTTCATTTACAGTTAAAGCTCTTGATGCTTCCCCAGAGATGGGTTTCTTTTGATTCGGCGTCGCGGAGGAGGACGACTAGAAGGAGGAGGAGAAGGGGGAGGGGGAGGAGGAGGAGTACGATGATGAGGAGGAGGAGAAGGATGAGGATGAGGATGAGGATGTTGCTGCTGCTGTTGCTGCTGCTGGTGCTGATGATGACGACGACGACGACGACGATGATGATGATGATGATGATGATGATGATGATGATGGTGATGGTGATGATGATGATGCTGCTGCTGATGATGATGATGCTGCTGCTGCTGATGACGATAAGGATGATGATGATGATGCTGATGATTTTGATAATAATGATGCGGATGGGATGGTACTGGTGATGGCGATGGTGATGGTGATGGTGATGATCATTATGAGGATGGTGCTGAGTATCATGATGATGATGGTGATGGTGATGCTGCTGCTGCTGATGATACAGCTGACGATGATGCTGCTGATGATGCTGATGGTGGTGATGATGATGCTGATGAAGATGATGATGATGCTGATGATGATGGTGATGCTTATGATGATGATGATGATGATGATGACGACGATGATGATGATGATGATGATGATGATGATGATGATGACGATGATGATGATGATGATGATGATGATGCTGATACTGTTGATGAACATGATGAAGGTGATGCTGTTGAGTATATGGGATTGATGATGATGCTGATGCTGAGAATGATGATGTTGATGATGATGCTGATGATGATGCTGCTGCTGATGCTGATGCTGATGTTGATGATGACGCTGACGCCGTTGCTGATGCTGATGATGCGTTTGTTGGTGTTGATGATGATGATGCTGATGATGATGATGATGATGCTGATGATGATGCAGATGATGATGATGATGATGATGATGATGATGATGATGATGATGATGATGATGATGATGATGATGATGGTGGTGATGATGGTGATGATGGTGGTGCTGATTGTGATGATGCTGATGATGATGATGATGATGCTGTCGCTGATGCTGTTGTTAGTGCTGCTGATGATGATGCTGCTGCTGATGATAATGATGCTGCTGATGATGATGTTCATGATGATGCTGATGATGATGCTGCTGCTGCTGATGATGATGATGATGATGATGATGATGAGGATGAGGATGATGATGATGATGATGATGATGATGATGATGATGATGATGATGATGATGATGATGATGATGATGATGATGATGATGATGATGATGATGATGATGATGATGATGATGATGATGATGATGATGATGATGATGATGATGATGATGATGATGGCGAGGAGGAGAAAGAGGCGGAGGAGGAGGACGAGGAGGAGGATTCGGATGAGGATAACTATGGTGTAGCAACACCCCGTCGCGGCGGAGGTCCCCGATGTGGTGCAGGACTTCGTGCGAGCGATGGAGGCCGCGTGGTCCATGGGATGGGGTGGGGGGTGGAGGGGTGGGGGCCGAACTGCTCCTTCCCCCCCTTTCCCCTTCGCAGCTCTCAGCACCCTCGGCCCTCCTCCTCCTCCTTCTCCTCCTCCTCCTCCTCTTCTTCCTCCTAGCCATTTCGCGCCCGAGCGGCCCCCCCCCATGCACGGGGGGCGCGCGCGGGCATTCCACGGGGCGACTTCGGAATGGCGCCGCCCGTGGGAGCCATCAAGAGGAAGCGCAGTGCCCAACATCATCAGCTACTATGTTGAGATCTGGCAGCTGCGCAAAGGCCAAGACGCCGCCCTCCTCTTCCTGCTCCTTCCCGCCCGTTGTCTTCCTCTTCCTCCTACCCCCTATCGTCGCCCTGGTGTGTCGCAGCACTAGCCAGTGGGGAGCTGGCACAGGAATGCAGGCAGAGAGCGGCCGCGGCTGGCGGGCAATACCCACAGGCGCAACGCCCGAGAGCTCGCGCGGGACGGTGTCATCAGCCACACGGCTGGGACCAGACCGTGCGTGCGAGAAGGCCGAGCAGTGGCAGCCACCCGTGGGGCCACTCAGTGGCATGCAAGAGCAGCAGGGACTCATCTGCTACAGCGCTGGGAACGGTTCGTGCGAGAAGCCAGGCGAGCAGGGGCCAGCCAAGACCAGCAGCGTCATCAACTACACTGCTGGGGGCGGTTCGTGCGGCGAGCAGGGGCTAGCCAAGATCAGCAGTGTCAGATACAATGCTGGGAGCGGTTCGCGCGAGCCGGAATGAAAGCAGTGGCAGCCGGCGCTGGCGTTGCGGGAAGCCGAAGGTCGAGCCCAACGTCGTCAGTTACAGCCGACGAGATGGACGGAGGCCGTGGACGACGAAGGACGAGCCCGAAGCCATCCGCTACAGTGCTGGCACCAGGGCAAGACAAGCTGGAGCCAGACCGTGCGCTGGAGCCAACCGCGAAGCTCTCTCTGCAAGCAGCGGGAGGCGAAGGCCGAGCCCGATGTGACCAGCTACAGCGTCGGTATCAGGGCTTGCGAGGAAGCAGGCAGTGGCAGCAGGCAGCGGCTCGCGCGAGAAGGGCGAACAGAAGCGGCAGGCGCTACTGGGGACAGCTCGTGCGAGAAGCAAGGGCACTGGCAGCAACGGCTGTCGGCACGAAAGGGAGATGGTGGCGAGGCTTCCGGCCTTTACCACACCACCACCTCCTCCTCTCCCCTCCTCCCCCTCGTGGCCACGGCTGGACGCGGACGAAAATGGGAGCGGGGAGTACGCGAAACGAGGAGCCACATCAGCTACAGCGCTGAAAGCAACTCGTGCGATAATGGAATGCAGGCAGTGGCTGCAGGGGCTGTGCGGCGTGCCAGGAGCCCGATTTCGGCGAGAGCTCTGGGGCAGCATCTTGCGATAAGCCTGGGGCGAAACTGGAGCCCAATGTCAGCCCGACTCCTACACCGACGCCCTACTTTGAGAATCGGGAGGCAAAGGTAGAGCCCGACGTGATCAGCTATTGTGCGAGATTCGAGGGCAAGGAGCGGGAGAAGCGGGAGGCAACGCTGGAGTCATCCTAGCTAGCCTATTCGGGGAAAGGGTTCGTCACGGCCAACCTCTGGCGGGAAGCGGGGGGTGAAGCTGGAACCCAAGAACAACTCGAGCGAACCACATGCAGCTCCGACGCTGGAAGCAACTCGTGCGACAAGGACAGGCCGTGGCAGCAACGGCTGTCGGTGCGAGAAAGGAAGTGCGAAAAGGCAGTCATCAGCTACGACGATGGGATCCGCTCGCGCGCGAAATCGTTGGGTGCGAGGCTTGCACGGCAGGCCGAGGGGATAGTTGGGGGCCCACGCCGCCAGCTATCATTCGAGAAAGGGCTCAGGTTGGCACCCACCTCAAGAAACGCTCTTTTGTTGCAGTGGCCAAAGCTGAACTTTGTCGCCCAGGGACGGCCTGGGGTAGGGGAGGCTTTCAAAGTCGCCGTGGTGCGTGCCGCGCAGCTGTGAAGATCAGGTTCGCAGAATCTAGCATAATCCTCCTCCTCCTCGTCCCCCTCCTCCTCCTCCTCCTCCTCCTCCTCCTCCTCCTCCTCCTCCTCCTCCCCCTCTTCCCTTCTCCTTGCTGTTCCTCCTCGTCTTCCTCCTCGTCCTCTTCCTCCTCCTCCCTCCCTCCTCCTCCTCCTCCTCCTCCTCCTCCTCCTCCTCCTCCTCTTTTTCGTCCTCCTCCTTCTCTTCCTCTTCCTCCTCCTCCTTCTCCTCCTCCTCCTCCTTCTCCTCCTCCTCCTCCTCCCCCCTCTCACCATCTGATGTATACTGGCGTCTTCTTCTGTTCCTCCTCCTCCTCCTCCTCCTCCCTCTCCCCCTCTGGCGACGACCACGAGGGCGACCCGTTTTGCCGCACGCCTCGAGCAGCTCCACCTGCGCGTGGCGGGCCAGTCCTGGCTCTCGCAGGGCAATTCGGCGTTTTAGGGTCCTGCCTTCTGACGCTCGTCCTCCCCGTCCTTGTCGTCGTTGTTGTTGTTGTTGTCGTCGTTGTAGTCGTCGTCGCCATCGTCGTCGTCGTCGTCGTCCTCGTCGTCGTCTTCGTCTTCGTCTTCGTCGTCGTGGTCGTGGTCGCTTCCTTCGTCGTCGTGATGGTTGTCGTGCTCGTGGTCGTCGTCGTCGTCGTCGTCGTCGTCGTCGTCTTCGTCATCGTCGTCGCCGTGATCGTTGTCGTCATGGTCGTCGTTGTCGTCGTCGTCGTCGTCGTCGTCGTCGTCGTCGTCGTCGTGATTGTCGTGATTGTCGTCGTCGTGGTCGTGGTCATCCTGTTGCTCCTGTCGGGGGAGTGCATCGCGGCCGTGAGGGACGCGCGGGACCTGTGTCCCCAGTCCAGGCGCTGGGCACCTCCGATGCAGCAGGTGCTTGTGCTGCTGCTGGTCCTCCTGTCTGCTCCTGTTAGTGCTCCTGCTACGCCAGTTATGCGAAGCTCTTCGCCCGCTTCGTACTCAGTGACATTACACTGTGGTGGTCTTCCGACCTATCAGTAGACGGGCGCCAGCGTGGTGGTGTACCCGCGTTAAATTTCAACCATTCTAACCGTATGTTGCAAGCGGTCGGTACGCCGCTCCATGTGATTTTACACATTCGGATTCGTTGACGCTTCGCGTGCCCCCACCATTGCCCGCTGCTCGTTCGGTGCGCGTTGACTTGACGCCGTGCGATGTGCCGCCACGGACGCGATCAAAACGTATCCCCACCATCCCATCCAGAAGCGATGCCCAGGTGAATCGTTTTTTTTCATGGACGTGTAGGATCAAGCAGGCAACGGACCAGCGAGGGGGCAGCAGTCACGCTAAGCTCGGGACCAGGCTAAGCAGACTTAGTAGCCAACCGTGCATGCATGCATGCCTTCGCGCACCCCAGGAGCCTCTTGGCGTTTTACCTTGGGCACCGTGGGCCCCTCCTGGGGCCATTTTGGAAGCCTTTGGATCTTCTGGTGAGCCTTTTTGTTGGGTTCTCTTGGGGTTCGTTTGAGGGCCTGGGTGCCATGGTGGATGCCCTCGATCAAGCAAGGTTCCGCGCGTATTACAGCCCTCCCGTCGGACCCCGAACCATAGCATCTGAACGTGCTCTGTCGGCGCTCTCGGGAAGGTCTTTGGCGCTCATGTGGTCGTTTGGGTGCCCGCTTGCGGTGGCCCACGTGAAATACACCACGTCGGTTTGGCCTTTCAAACCAGTGTTGTGAAGGCCAGCTTGGGAAATTCGCATCCCCGACTTTGCTGATACTGTATAGTTGTTGAACTTATTTAATCGTTTCGCTCACTCCGCCGGCCCATATTGCCTCGTCGCTGTCGTTTGTCGGGGTGCTGTTGTAAATGCGATGCGGTTGGGCGGCTTCCATTTTTCGGCGAGTCAGAGGCCTCACGGATGTTGGTTGGGCTCTCGTGGTTGGCCTCTCAGGGGCCTTTGGGAGGCAGTTTTGAAGCCTCTAGGGGGTCGTATTTGGGGTACTTGAAACGTATATCCGACGTTGCCTTGGCTCAAGGCAGCGCTGTCCGATTTGTTGGTGGCACGGCCACGTGCGACGCTATTGGGATCAGAGCATCGGACAAAGGCCGCGTATATCTATGATCCGCACCTCTATCCCATGGCTTCTTTTCACCTCCTCGTCATGGTTGCTTGCCATCAGGGTCTGAGTTGTGGGATTCTTCGATACGTCGCCGACGTTTTCCTAAGGGTAAGGTTCTCAGTTTATCCACTCATGATCAAGCCCTGTTCCCTTCTCTTTCAGTTGGTAGCGGAGCTGGCTACATCTTCGTGTGGCTGGGTCTTACATCGGGTGTCATTTACAAAACGACTTACCACGACACAGTGGAGTACCCGACTGCGCCGGCTCTCAGGCACTACTCTCCCAATGCTTTCGATCCAACTGGTAACCTACAATCCTATACCTCCATGTCCCCACCGCGTGGCCACACGGCGTGTACAACCCAAACGCCGATATCTATACGCAAACGGACGGCCACGTCAGACCAGGCACCCAATCGCAATCCAACGGACGCGCCAATATCCAATGATGAGCAACCTAGCATCATCAGCAACAACACGAACATGCACTATTTAAAGTTGCCATCGCTGGAAGTATCTGGGCATGTCTGGGCTTCGCCGTGGCATGCATGCGAGAAGGACTGGATGAAACCCGCACGCGAGGTCCCTGTTGGGACCCTGCAGGCAACGCACCCTTTCGGGACTTTGTTCGCGAAGTACACGCATGGCTTAACGTCGCAAGCGGAAGCATGACTCCACCTCAGCAAGCCGTCGTCTTACAGCGAGGTCTGGGAGGATTGCCGGGACCCTGCTGGGACGTGCCTGGGACCTGCCCGGGATTTTGTCGGGACCTTGCCGGGACTTGCGGGGGTACTTTTCGTCCAGGGACCCCCAGGGGCGGCCCCGTGCGCGCGAAATACAAATATTGTGAACTAGTTACCGGAGATCTTAGCACGCATTTGGCCCGTTGGGCCGGCGAATCATGTCATGTTCCTCCACGCCGACCTGGAATTTTTCGTCAGCGGACGCGCGATCGCGCGCTTGCGCTCCTGTTCATGTGGTAAAACATTCGAGAGGGTTTCAGGGCATTTTTCAGTGCGTTCCCCCTGCTGTAATTTCGGGGCGGACGATGTGCCCAGGCGTGTGAGTTCGTTGGTGCGTTTATTTTTGGCGTTGTTTGTGTATCGATTGATATGTCCCGTCGCTCTTGTGTTTCCATGGTTGGCCCGACCGTGTGGTGTATACAGCGCCCTTCCCCTTCCCTCGTGGTGTATATCCATACGTGTCCCGTGATGTCTTTTTTTGTTTCGTGTTGATTTCTCCGGGCATGGTATATACCAATACGAGGGTCCACACAAGTGCGTTTCGCGTGAATGGACACGTCGTCCTGGCGTCCCAATGGCATCTGAGAACGACCCTGTGGACTTGCTGTGGGCTGTGAGAAAGTTCGGGGGGGGGGAGGGAGCGAGATGGGGGAATCGCGATTGTCCTTAGGTCTTAGGTTGTCGCGTACGATAGGCCTGGGGATCTACGATGCCCAAATTTATTTGCTAGCGCGAAGTCCGTTTGTCAATGGCCTTAGTTTAGAAAAGGCCCATGCTGCGATTGCATACGGCGCTACGCTTCTATATCTGGAAACTTGGGTGGTGTATTGCATGTGGGTCGCCTACTCTTTGGCCCCTTTGGGGCTGTATTGGCCGATGTTGGAACTACCTTGAGGCCTAACAGGCCCATCGGAAGCGAGACAGCGAGACGGGACACACGACTGATTTTCTTAAGGTGGTGGATTGGCGTTGGTTTCTCGGGAGCGTCCTTGATTAGCTCCGTGGCATGCTTGATCTCGGGGTCTCATGGAGGCATGTGAGAGGTTGTCTTGAGACAGATTGGCCCATGCTGTGCCACCTTGGGCTGTCAGGGAACCTTGAGCCATTTTAGGCTATGCTGGACTTTCCCAACGCGTCGCGACTCCACCCCCCTTCCAAACCCAGGGGAGGGGTAGTGGGAGGGCTCAAGCTACACCCCCGAAAAACATCCGTCTCGCTTATTCCCACCAGCCCTCCCACTGCACAAGTGCTACCCGAGTCTCAGCATGTGTGCAGTGGCTCCTTCTTCACCCTCCCCTTCTTTTCTCATGTTAGCACTATTCTTCAAGTCGGGACAATGATCACGGCCTCACGCCCACCCGGTCTCAGAGATGCCCAGTCACGCGTCCGCGGCGGTGGTCAATAACAAACACACACATGCAGGGGCTGCCATCGACAACTCTCGGGGACCCGTGCCGACGCCAGCCGGGTGCGTGGCGCCCACGAGAGGTGCGCTGCGCTTGCCGGGCATCCCCATATCCCTCCCGCCAAAGAGCAACGCAACGTGGTCGCGGGGCGCCCGCGCATGGCCCGAGATGTTGCTGCCTCGCGCGCTTTGCGCCTCGCTTTTTTTTTTTTTTGGTCAGGACGGTGGGCCTGCACACGTTGGGCAATCTGGTGGCGCCGCCGCCCTCCCTGTCGAAGAACATCGGCGGCGCGTCCGATGGGGGACGTGAGGAGGGGGCAGGCCTTCTCAAAGGGCGGCGGGGCTCTCTCAGAAGCCCTCGCGCCTTCCGAGAAGTTTTCTGTGTCTCTGGGTGATGCTTAGAATACCTCTCTCCGACAGGCCTGGGGCCTTCCGAGCCTTCTGTGAAGTTGCCGCCCCCTCTGACTTCCCCCCTGGGGCTCGCTGGGCTCGCCGGGCTCGCCGCTGGGAACAACGATGCAACGTGATCGCGGGGTGCCCGAACACGATCCAGACTCTGCCGCCACGCGCTTGTCGTGTTGTTCTTTCTGTTGACAGGGATGGCTCGGGGGGGACCTGCCGCCGCTGCCTGCAGCGCCGCCGCGTATCCCTGACGACGCTGCACCTTGGCCCGTCGGCTCGGCCCGGGCATACGACATTTTACCTAAAATATTGTATCCGGCACCGTTGTACAGTCAAGGCGTTGAACTAAGAAGCACCTTGGGCTCAGGAGGGGATCTGGTTTTCGGGCCGATCCTTAATTATGTAGTGGGAACGCCAGAAACGCCCCGTCGTTCCTTTTTGGGGGTTCCTTGTGGTAGCGCGATTTCTGTACCTGGCAACCATCTATGCATTCCTGGCATAGTTGTACGTTGCACTTGGCAACTAGGATCAAGCTTCTTGGGGGTCGAATTTGGAGTCGGCGCCGGTATATCCCCGGTCGGAAACTTACATCGGCGCCGCGTCGCGCGGCTCGATGTGCATCCCAATTATCTCCACGTTGACAGCGCAGATGCAGCGGTGACGTCGCCGATGCATCGGCGTTGCATCCCTGACGTGGTCCTCCAACTCCACCTGCTTGGAACCCTTTGGGAGGCCTCCCTCTCTTTACGCCCCCCCCCCCCCTCCCGACCCTCCTTCCTGATCGCGGCCTCGCGGCTCAGTCCTTCTACGCCGAGTTCGTGCCGCAGAAGTTCGAGGCCCGGAGACCTCTCTGCGCCTCGGGCGTGCCTCTCCGCCGCCTCCCGCTCCCCCCAGCTGGGCGGAGGGATGGATGGATTTGGGGGAGGAGGCGGAGGAGGAGAAGGAGAAGGACGCAGGGCGCAAACTACACTGTGTGCTTGGCGATTTCGTGGGCCGTTTGTGCTGTGGCTTCGTTTTGCAGCCAAGGCGGAACGACGACAGACCGAGGGAAAATGACCACAACGCCAACATGCAACGTACTGTTCAGCTCGAGTCCTGCGAGGATGAGGCGGATGCTAGGGTTCTTGGCTTCTAGGTTGGCGGGTCATCCACTACATGTCTAGAAGGAGAGAAAGAGAGAGAGAGAGAGAACGACAACGAACGATTATAATCCAGTCCTCACTACTTGCCGTCCGGCTGCCCAAGAGCTTTAAGCGGAACCGTGTTGTTGCTTTTCGTATGAGCTGGAACGAGAGATGGACGACTGGCTGTGTAATGGTATTGTGCCAGGAGCTGTTGTAATATGTGCTGCAGGGTCGGTCGTAGGAACTGTGATGGGTGCAGGATTACTTGATGTAGAGGGAAGTGCAGTACGAGTTGCATTCGGAAATGTACTAGGAGGTGTACTGTCAACCGCCGCAGGAGCTGTGGTGAGAATTGCATTTGACGCTGTAATAGTTCCTGTAGTCGGTTTTGTGAGGGTCCTGTAGTAGAACGTGTAGAAAGAGATGGTTTAGGAATTGTAGAACGGGCTGCAGTGAGACCTGTATTGCAGGTTGAATTTGTGAGCGTCGTATGGATCTTAGTACGTTCTGGTTTACCGCAAGTTGCAGAAGATGAGGTCGGGGTGGTAGCATGAGGGGCATACTAATCTTGATACAGGAGTTGCAGTGCGACTGGGCTATTGGCTGCAGTAGGGCTTGCAACGAGATCTGCAGGCATAAGGCATAGACGTATTAGCAGAAATTGTATTACACATTGTGGTTCGAAATGTAGAGTAGTGCGAGCTGCTCGAGTTGTACTACTTCTTGTGATGGGCGCCGGATGGCGGAAAGCGCGCGCAGCGTGCGATCCATTAGCCAGGAGGAAGAATTCGTGGGAGTTTGATGGGGGTGGCAGCTTGAACACCAGATGACGGAAAGCGTGCAACGCGTTCGATCCGTGAGTGGGGAGAGATGCATAGGGGGATCTTGGTGGGGACATCTCTTGCCCCGGGGACGACGGAAAGCGCGCGTGGCGTTCGGCCTGTCAGTCTGGAGGAACGGATCTAGGAAGAGTTTGAGGGAGTTGGCACCCACGCCCACAGGGATCGAAGCCAAAATGGGGATTTCGTCGATTTGGCGTCTGAGCGCGCCGATGTGGCGGCTGAGCGGCCTTTCGGCCTGCAGAGGCCGTCTTGGGCCCTCCCTGGGCAGTCGCGGTCCCTGTATGAGCGCTTTAGGTTCCCATGACTATCTCGGGGGCCCATTCGGCTTTCTTGGGCCCCTCTTTCAGGGGGCCATCTCGACGGCCTCCTTGGCGCTCTTGGGGCCATCCTGGTGGCCCCTGGGGCCGTCCTGGGCCGTCGGAAAGCCTAAACAACGCACATGCCAGAACCTTTCGATTACCGAAGGGGCATCGCAGATTTTGCCGTCTCGGCGGCCTGGTGGGCAATCTTGGGTTCATCTTGTCCCGCCTTAGGAAAATCTTGGGGCCGTGTTTGGTTTCCGGGGGTCATCGTAGCCCGCCTGGAGGCCATCTTGGCCGCGTTGGGAGCCACCTTGGGGCCGCTTGCAGCGGGAACACCGAGCCTCAGGCAGGAGCGGCCGAGTGCACACTGGACACTCTACGACTTTGAACAGCCACAGCCGAACTTTTCGGCACGCCGCGCACCCCGTGGCAGGCCACGGGGGGGCGGCAGATCTGGTGGCCTATTCGGCCCCTCCCGTCACCGTAGCCTCTTGGATGCCCGTGGGGGTTCTCTCGAGGCCTCTCGGAGTCCCCTCGGCGCGGGCTCGGGAGCATCCTCGGGGCCTCTCGCGGGAGCCGCCTCGTGGCTTCCTGTGGCTGCCTCGGGCACCGGGCGCGCCCCGTGGAGCTTTTCTGGGGGCTTCTCGGCTTCTCGTCGCCTCGCTTGCTCCGCCCCTGCTCTGGCTTCGCTGCCCCTGCTCCGCGCCCCCCGCCCCAGTTTCGTGCTCCCGTTCTCTCTCTCTTCGCCATGGCTCCGGTTTCTCCACCCGGTTCCGCGTCCCCCACTCGAGTTTCCGTTGTCTCGTTCTCTCGTGTTCTGGTTTTGCTCCGCCCCCGCTCCGTTTTCTCCACCCCTGCTCCGCGTCCACTCATGGGCCTGCTTTCCACCACCACCACCATGAGTTGGAGGGGGAGGGGGTCCCTCCTCCTCCTCCTCCTCCTCCTCCTCCTCCTCCTCCTCCTCCTCCTCCTCCTCCTCCTCCCCCTCCAACTTATGGTGGTGGTGGTGGAAAACAGGCCCATCATCCACCGCTCCGGTGTCGTGTTCTCGTTGTCTTTGCTCTCCGCCCCTGCCCCGGTCTTGCCGCCCGTCGGTCGCGTCCCCGATCCCAGCTTCGTCCTCTCATCATTTTGGTTTCGCCGCCATTGCTCCGTGTTCCCCACTCCTGTTCCGCGTCCCCAGCCAGTCTCGTCTTCTCGTCTTCTCCGCCCCGTGCTCCGTCTTCTCCGCCCCAACTTTTGCATCCCCAACCCACGTTTCGTTTTCTCGTTTTCTCGGTCTCGCCGCCCCTGCTCCGTTTTCTCCGCCCCTGTTCCAGACCCCCACCCCATTTTGTGTGTGTGTGTGTGTGTAGATATTCACATGGGTAGAGCCGCCGTACGACCCTCCCACCGCGTGTTTCAACATCAACGTTTTTCCCTTGCACCGAAAGATTTGTCTGTTTCGGGTTATACAATCTTTCTTCTGCTGGTGGTTCCCATTTTGATGCGACTGTGCCCATTTATGCAGCGTTTGGGGTCCACGAGATACGTCGATTGCACAACAACGATTGCACCACATCGATTGCATCATGTAGGTTGCACCACGAATATTGCACCACGTAGACCGCACCATATACGTTATATGGAACCGCGTATATCGCACCACATACATTTCACCTCATACATTGCCATTGCAACATATGCATTGCACTTGTACTTCACACATTGCACCACGTACATGACACTACGTAATTTCGTTTGCAACACATTGGTTGCACCACTCAGCACTCAACAGGCTCTCCCCGAAGTTATACTTCAATGTACCATTCTGTGCCACAGCTTTCGTGTTCGGCCGCACGCCCACTACTCATCTTCAGCCCCCGTGTTCAGCACGCCGCCCAGTACTCAACAGGTTCCTTCCCAACTTGTACTTTGAACATCGCGATGTGCTCCACAGTCTTCCGTGGTCAACACCACACTCGGTATTTAAGACCCTCCGCCTCCAACGCAACAGCCAGTATTCAGCGCAAGATGTCGCTGCCAGAGAGGACCTTTTAAGACCTGCATTCCAATCCCGACCGCCCGTCCGCCCGCCTGCCGCCCGCCCGCCGCGCTTCAGCGTTCAGTACAGCGCCCAAGTACTCAACAGCGTCCGTCTCCAACGCGATACCCAGCACTCAACAGCCTTCTTCCCCACTGCCCAACGCAGCACCCAGCACTCAGCAGCATGCTGCTGCAAGAGAGAGAGAGAGCCCTTTGGATTTGCATTTAAAGATCCAGGTCCGCCCGCCCGCCCGCCCGCCCGCCGCCGACCCGCGCCGCCCGCCCGCCCCCCAAAAAAGACTCCCCGGGAGTGAGGGATTGAGTCTTAGAGGATGGAGGGAGGAGGCCGCCTAGACCTTGGGCTGGAGGGTGGAGGGAGGATTGAGTCTTAGAGGATGAGGGAGGCGGGAGGGAGGATGATTGAGTCTTAGAGGACTAGGGATGAGGGAGGAGTCTTGAGTCTTGACCTGAGAGCGCGCCCACGCCGTGCCCCCAGAGGCACGGTGGCGGACAACATTGGAGACTGGAGACTGGATCTCTCAGCGCACGGTGCAAATAATTTCATCCGCGCAGCCTGGTGAGCCCACAAGGGGGCCAGCGCATATATGTATTGCGTGATCTTGTGGAGCGAGCCGTTGCAACCGGGGCTCGAATCTTGGAACCACGAGGGGCACGTCCCAGAGCCAGGCGGAGCAACACATTGCGCAATCACAGCTCGAGAGCTCTTTGGCCTCACCGCTCTCCCGCACGCCGACCCCCCCCCCGGGGCAAGCCAAGCGATAGGCCGCCATCGCCGCCGCGGCCGCCAGGGAGGCCGAGCAGGCACTCGCGCACGCGGAGGAGCGAAGCGGGCTCTTCTGCTTCGTCGTCGTGTGTCGTCGTCGAGGTCGTCGTCGTCGTCGTCGTCGTCGTCGTCGTCGCCCGTCGTCGTCGCCCGTCGTGGTTGCCGTCGTCGTCGTCGTCGTCGTCCCCCCCCCGGGGGGGCACCCCCAGAATCCGCCAGATGGGGCGCCCAATTGGAAGCCCAACTCCAGTCTGTAGATAAGAGCAGGTTAGACACACTCAGGCTGGATCCAAGTGTGCATGCAGTTGCCGAAGCCTCGGAGCCTCAGCCTGACTCAGAGCCGTCGGATGTGAAGTCGGGCGGGGTGGGAGTGGCTCGCGTGGGGTCGGGCGGGTAGACCGGCCTGGCCACTTCGGGCGTCATACCAGTGGCCATCCTCTCACGCGCTGTGAGATCGACAGTCCCCTCCAGCACGCAGGAGTGGAAGTCAGTTTTTGTGGTTGCTGCGGAGGTTGCTGTGAGGACTCCAAGCCTGGGCCGACACTGCGTGGCAGCTGTCTCGGGCGTCCCGAATCTCCCCAGATCGCCTCCCAGCTCCGTCGCGTCCTCCCGGGCCCCCGCCCGCGCGCGCGAGCCAGCACGAAGAATCTGCCCCTGAATGCTCCGCACGGGCTTGGGCCCACCGAGCGTGACCTGCTGTCCGTTCGCCGCCTTTCCCCCTCCGTGCCTCCGCCTTCCGCCCCAGGGGAGTCGCAGGCTCGTGGCTACGCGCCCCAGGCTGTCGTCCTGACCGCGTTCGGCCTGCAGGATGCGGACCTCCAGGCCGTTCGATTCCTCGGAGCGGAGGCGGGGCGTGGCCGTGCGGCGGGGGGGGGCAAGGGTCGGAGGACGCCTCTGATTCTGACGGGCTGTTTTAGCCCTGCTCTCTTGGCTGTAGGTCGCTCCACAACAGCGTGTCCTCCCCCAGGGTGGTCCGGGAGTTCACTCTCCTCTCTCGCTGCCTTGGGTCGGGGTCGGCGGTCCTCTCCCCCCCTCTCGGTCCCGGGGTCCCCAATCTTTGCCCGTGATGTACCGGACGCCGCTGGCCTCGGCCTCCCTTCGTGGGATCGGTGCAGTTCTTGGCGGGACTCCCCGTTTGCTTTTTGGGCTCGGAGCCACCGTGCAGTGACTGGTGGGCCGCGCAGTGAGAGCGGCGCTGCCGCGGGCGCGCCTGAGGGCGCGCAGCCCTGGGCCACTTGACTGCGCAGCCCCGATGGCGCAAACAGCTCCTCGTCGTCGTCGTCGTCGTCGTCGTCGTCGCCGTTGTCCATGTGTCGTCGTCGTCGTCGTTGCCGCCGCCGTCGTCGTCGTCGTCGCCGTCGTCGTCGTCGTCGTCGTCGTCGTCGTCGTCGTCGGCTTCCACCTGTCGTCCCCCCGAGGGAGGCCCCCGAGGGCGATGACGAGGATGAGCAGGGAAGAAGACGAGGGAGGTCGGAGGAGGGCCGGGGGGAAGAGGGAGGAGGGGGGAAGAGGAGGAGGAGGAGGAGGAGGAGGAGGAGGAGGAGGAGGAGGAGGAGGAGGAGGAGGAGGAGGAGGAGGAGGAGGAGTAGGAGTAGGAGTAGGAGTAGGAGTAGGAGTAGGAGGAGGAGGAGGAAGGAGGAGGAGGACCAGTGTAAACCCAAGGTGCATAAACATGTTAGACTAAACCTTCCTCCAAACTCCCTCTTCGCAGGCCCCATACAAGGGTTCATTTCCACTCAGGGAAGTGCTCAATGACACAACCGTTGGAAGACCCTGAAGAGTGCCAAAACACCATTTCTGGAACTCAATACCACGGATCAACTTGACTGTTGCGCCTTGACGATCCCACATCGTGCCAGAACACCAGTTCTGGGAGTTCAACGCCGCGAATCAACGAACCTCTAGCGCCCCCAAAATCCTGAATCGTTGATCCAGACGTCATGTTCTGGTACGCTAACAGCGAGAATGCGCGAAACTCGCGCGATTTCTTGAAACGAATGCGCGCGGCGCTGAGGCGAGAGCGACATGTTTGAAAGTGGACTGTCCTCAATCCGTGAAGCTCGTGCAAGTTGTTAAACCAAATGCGTGTGGCGCTCAGGCGGGAACAGCATCTTGAAAACGAACCGCCCCGAATCCCTGAAATGTTGGACATGCTTAAAAACAATGTGCACAGCGCTAAGTCGAGAACCTCGTTTTGACAACGGTCCGCCCTCATTCCGTGAAGCTCTTGCACATCTTTACGACGAGTGCGCGCTGTGCTAAGGCGAGAGCCACATTTTGAAAACGGCCCGCACTCAATCCATGAAGTTCCGGCGATTTGTTTAGACGAATGCGCGCAGCGCTAAGGCGAGAACCCAAGTTTGAAATCGATCCGCCCTCCATCCGTGAAACTGTTGCAGACCTCAAATGTGAGGATCGTACATGATGAGGAAGTCTCATGCGAAACGCCCGGCCCGCCCCTCCGCCTGGCCTCGGGGTGCGACGGGGGGAACTTATTCATAAAAGAGAGGTGCTTCCTCCTTCAGGAGGAACAAAAACACACAGACACAACTAACCGTCGATTCCCCAGAGAATATGGGAAAATCTGGGACGTGGGGCTGGAAGACAAACAACCCCGAAAATACATGGGAACACATATGGAGAAGCGGGTTATGTTTGTGCCTATCTATTTGCGTGTCCCAGGGCCCTTTTCACTCCTGCGACGTGGGGCCCGCGGCCCGGGAGCTCCGGGAGCGGCGCCGCGCGCATGGCCACGCGCGGCGCTGTCCCGGGGCGCCCGCAGGAGCGGGCGCCGACCCGATTGGGAACCCCCAAACCGGGTGGTGAGATACCAGGTGGCGACCTGGAATCCCCAAAAAGGGCACCGCTGGGTTCGGGGACGCGGGGTCACCACCGGGTGTTGTCACTCCTGGACGCACCGGTGTCCAGGACATCCTCGGAAAACCGCACGAGTCCCCAAACCGGGTGGTGACACCAAATCGCCTGAGACTCACCGCCAGGTGCTGTCACCACCACGTTCCCAGACCCCTGACGTCATGATTTTTTCATGACGTCGACCCCCCGAGGTCTCGACCCATTCCCCGGGACCGTTTTTTCGTCCCGAGTCGTTTTTCGACGGTCCCGAGGGCCGGTAAGGGCCCCCAAAGGCCAAAAATCATGAAAAACCTTCCCGTCGTGATTTTTTCATAACTCGAGGGGGTCTGGGTTTGGGGACTACCAACACGCGTGGCGCTGTCCCGGGGCGCCCGCAGGAGCGGGCGCCGACCCGAGGCCGGGGCAGGATCTCTCGCGGAGAGCGCTCTTCCCACCCCCCGCGGGGACGGCCCGACCCCGGCAGGCCCTGGGACCGGCAGGCCCCGGGAGGAGGGGGAGGGGGAGGAGGGGGAGGAGGGGGAGGAGAGGGAGGAGGGGGAGGAGGGGGGGGGGAGGGGGAGGAGGGGGAGGAGGGGGAGGGGGAGGAGGGGGAGGAGGGGGAGGAGGGGGAGGAGGGGGAGGAGGGGGAGGAGGGGGAGGAGGAGGGGGAGGAGGGGGAGGCCCCGGGACCAGAGAGCCCGGAGCCCAGGAGCCGAGCCCGGGCGCCACGGGAGCCAGCGCGCTCCCAGAGCCCAGGGAGCCCAGGGCCCCACAGGGAGCCCCAGAGGCGTGCGGGAGCCCTCCGCGGCCCTGAAAGGCGCCGTGCCAGCTGCAAGGTGTCCGGGCACGGCCAGAGACGGGTCCGTGCCACGCCCCACGCGCAGGACAGAATCATATCAATGAAAGCACGGCGTGACATGCAGGCAACTGGAGCCAAGAGAGTTCGGGCAAATTGGACGCCTGCAGAAAACGTGCTCAGCTGGGCACCTTCCATTGTGCCCACAGGTACTCGGGAGTCACAGCCAACCAACGGATACAACAGCATTCCCGAGTATATTTTCGAAGTGGCAGCCTGCAGGCCTGCTCAGAAAAAGTCCAAGCGCGCTAGCCTGGAGGATCGCACGCCGCCGCCAGGAAGGCTTGCAGCTCCTTGAGGCCGTGCGAGTCCTGGGGCGAGTCCACGGAGCCCACTTCCTGGATCTGCGGGGCATGCGGGTTGCCAACCTTCGTCTGGAGGACGCCGTCGTAGAACAGCACCTTCGGCTTCCGCCCGAAGAGGTTCTTCCCGTGTTCGCCGGTGGTGGCCGTCGTCATGCTCACGCGCGCGTCGTCGACCGCCGTCAGGGCGTTGCCATCGAACGCTGCCCCCATCGAGGTCATCTTGCCGAGCACCGAAGCGTCCTGCTGCGGATGGGCTCCTGGGGCTCTGAGGGAAGACAGACACGATCATCAGCTGCACCTGGACGCCCTCCGCGGCTTTATGTCCAGCTTCATGCTCAGCGTTGCCAGCGGGAGAAGCATGGTCAACGGCACCTGGGCGCCCTTTGCGGTCTCCATCATTGGCGCACTGCACCTGGTAGCCCTCCGCGGTCGCCAGCGAGATCCCCAGGAGGGCCTGCATGAGCAACATCTTCATCAGGAAAGGCGTGACGATCCAGCGATTCGTGGATGATCGTCACGTTCCAGAGAAGTACCTGGAGACCCGCAGCGGCCTCCATGAAGCACAGCTCCATTTCGAGGGTCCTTACCGACCTCCTGCCTCGCGCCGCCACGCACTCCCGGCTCGGCGTCCTGCGCCTCGGGGACGCCGAACGCCGAGAGGCACTGGGGCATCTCCTGCTCCGAGAGGTGCCGCAGCGCGTTGTAGCAGATGTCCACCCTCTCCGCCACCTTGGCGTGCAGGCGGCCCGGGTTTGTAGGTCGACCCTGCCAGATCAAGGGTACCCTCGTGTCCTGTGTCTTGCGACCCATGCCTCCTGCATTTCTGTGGCAACGTGGCCCTCGGAAGGGTCTTGTGTCCTCTCGCGTGTCCTCTCCAACCAAGTCCGAGTGTACCTGGCCGTGAGGAAGCCCCGCTCCTTGGCAGCGCGCGCCCCCACAGCGAGGCCCTCGAGCGGCCGGCCCAGCTCTTTCTCGAGAGGTTCGAGAGTCGCATCTCGGAGCTGGTCTGCCCGCAGCGCCCGGCCGGCGAGAAACGCATCCG